AATTAATTTAATATTCAACAGGCGAATTATAAACTGCTGTTATATTAGTTAAGAAGTTAACAAATACACGACTGCACAGAATATTAATTTTCTGTACTTTAAGAGCTTCACTTTCCTTAACAGAAAATTCAAGGAAGTTGAATCGTATACAATTATCCATAATATTTGTCAATATCATTTATGTTGAATAATTCGACTTTGAATCATTATAGTATTACAAAATAGCTATAGATTTCTATAAAATTCTAACTTTTCATGAATATCTAAATATAGAAAAATATGTTAAATATTAAAAATCTTAACGATATATATACCAAATTTAATATGAAAAAACAAAGAAATTTATTTTCATTTTCTTTCCATATCCATATCTCGCCAATTAAGCTTCTATTCTTATATTTTAATTTTTTTTTTTAACATTTTAATTTTCTTTTCGATATAATATTTTATATTTCGCATCACCTATTTTATTAAGGCCACCATCTTTTTTTAATGTTCTTTCTATATTTTATATCTTATTACACGTATTATCATTCAAATCATACTTTTTTGTGTGCTCTAAGTTAATTCTTTATTTATTATATTTTACAACGTTAACTAACACATTTTGCGTATTTTTGTTTCATTATTTTATTTATCATCGCTTTCTTTGATATATTTTACGTCGTTTTCTTATAAATCGTTTACATTTATATCTTTTTGCATGGAGAAGGCCTCATTTTTCATTAGATCTATATACATTTCGATTCCACTTTTACATATTTCTCTAAAATGCTTTTCCTAGTACGCTAAATACGTTTCATTGCTGTAAAAATTCTGTCGTTTTGTATTTAATTTTAATGATATTTATGTATATATAATTAAGTTAAATATTTGTCGTCTTTATACCTAAAAATATTTTCTTTTTATTAAATACCGTATCTTTGTAAATCTTTTAAATCGATTTTATTTATTATCCTTATGGGTTCATCTATAACACTATGTTGTCCACGTTCATGATTTACCATATATTCTACTATTATATCCTCATTTAGCTTGTCTGTTCATTTCTTAATATTTTTATTCGTTATGCTGTAATTGAATTATATTAAAATAAAATGATCTTCACATCGCTTTTTAAATATTTTATTTTCATTTTAAGTATTACTAGTTTTGAAATATTTTTTTAACAATTTTACATATTAATTGATAGGAATGTCAAAAAGTTTGTAGATACTGTAGTTACGGAATTTAGTGAAAATGAAAAAGTGACCATTAGCGAGGAAATATCTATTTAAAACGTAAAATTCATGTGTCACAATTACAAAATATTTATCCCAATAATATGCAAAATTTTAATTATATTACTAAGATATATATTAAAAAAAAGTATTTTATATTATGCAGATTCGAAAAAAATACAGCATATATGATAACATTTTGTTTGATGAAAGGCTTTTATAATTTAAAAACTATCGAATTCAGTCATTTTTCTTTATAATTTATTTTTTTACGAATCTAGTCCATCAACCGGTAAGAAAGTTGGGTTATAATGTTTTTTTCGATAAATCAACATGTTTCAAGTTGATAGATGTACATATAAGATGTAAACATATGTCTATGCTTGAGACAACATTTCTATTTTAATGCAGATGAAAGTTTCTCTATATGGCAATTAAGTTTGTAATGGAGTAATACTTTTTTCATGCACATCAAATGCTTTACATATTTGGTGAAATTCTTTTCTACTGTCATATTTGTAAAGTAGTTATATAGTACTTAAGTCTGAGGTGGAATTTATAATCATTAAAAAAAAATAATAACAATAATAAAATACAATAAAATAAAATTATAATTTTGTAATTATTTTTTTGTAAAGAATAATTTTAAAAGTCAGCCAAGTCTTATTAATTAATAGTTTAATTATTCAATGAAAAATACTGTATTTGTAATATTCAGGGGGAAAATAGAACTATTATAAAGAAATCTTTGTCTTTTTATAAAAACGAAGCATTCAAGAGGGTAAAAAATTTATAAAAAGCGATTTTAAATTAAAAAACAAATAATAACCTTTGTTTTGTTTGCAATAATTTTCAAAGACTATTAAAATTAATTATTGCTCATTGATTTATTCATTTCAAAATTAGATGATGTACGTTCATTTCTTGTATAAAATGTTCGAAATTATTGTTGTAAACAATAATTACAAATACGTTTTGTTAAAAATTAGAATTCAACATCTTAAATTTAAATTATTTTAAAGTTTAGTTACTTGTGTCATAACATTGAATTATTTATTAATAAAACGAAAATGCTCTTTAAATAATAGACAATTTATATTTATGTTAAATATTGTTTAGTTTATTTTAACTGAATGCATTTGTATACTGACTATAATATACTATAGTAAAAATAGTAATAATATTATTTCTCACTTTTTAGTTAATAGCAGAATAATTTTCATTAACCATCAAATTGAAAATGATCAATTTTCCGCTATGATTGTTGGAGAATAATTTTTACTGAAATTCTTCAAACAAAAAAAAAACTTTTATAGTTTATTTTTTACAATAATTTATATTTATATTATATTTTTCTGAAATTATTCTAAAGACTTTCGTGTCATTGTTACTAATTTTAAGTCATTTAAATATATGCATAAATGAATTTATGGTAAAATAAAAATTTACAAATATTTAAATATTTTTAACGTTCAAATATTGGAATTCTAACTAATAAAATTTTCTTATGAAAAGCAATTTTATAATAAATGTACTAGAAATAAATTCCGTTATAGTATATGGCAGCATATACAGCTACAATACGGTGCATAATAGTTATTGAATTTATGGGTAATGCTATCTTTATCAAGAAACGCATGGAATATTATTGATAATTAAAGTTAGAACTCAAATTATCTCCTTGCTGATTGGTTATTTATAAAAATCTAAGTATATTTTGTGAACGGAAAGTATATCCATATGTATATATATATATATATATATATATATATATATATAATGACAAAAAAGAGGGAACGCTAAGAGTAAAAGAAAAAAATTTAAAGGCGAGTGATCAAAATTTTAAACATAAGTACATACACTCACCATGTACGCTTTATTATAATATTATTTAATGTCTAATCACATTTAATGTCAAAACATCACAATCTACTATTACATTATAGTATGCAGTAAAATTTATAATTATAATGTAATAATTGTTGAAAAAAAATTGTATTACGACACTAAATTTCTCACGAAACAGTGAAAATAAGTTTTATTTATCTGATATTTTCTTTCATTTAAATACCGTTTTTCAATATTTACGAGATGTTTAAAAGATTTTTTGATAATTTATCTTGTTTAACAATTCTAATTGTAATTGTAACAAGAATGATAATTCATATGAATACATTTTTTCGTATTAATGCTGTATAAATTTTATTGTGTACGTTTCAATTTTCGTTAGGTAAAAAATCTTTATCCAAAGTCATTATAAAATCTACATCGGGACATATTTCGATAAAACTCCTTGATAAAACTCTACTCGCTTTAAAAGGTCAGGAAAAAAAAAAAAAAAAAAAAAAAAAAAAATTAAATAAAGGCAAATAAATAATTGAAAGTTACGTGCTTAAGACCTGTGAATGACTAAGACGCATCTGTATTTGCAATTAACATTCTTAATGTTGCTACTCACCGATCCTTATAACATATTTAATAATCATTAGGTGAATAAATAAAACTGCTTGCAACACCGAATATTGATAATGCAATTTTCCGGATATAAATCAGAAGATTTTCAAGTTTATGGAATTTATAAAAAATAGTCAGCTGTGTCGTTCGGCTTAAATGCAGTGGATTCAGGTCAATGGAACAATGAACGAGTGCGTGTGCGTGAAATTGCGCATGACAATGACCCACTCGACTAACGCTCGTCTTCTTTCCTACGCGATTTAAAGAGCATTCACCTGCTTTCCTGCCATTCTTCAATTCCACAACTTTATTTAAATGTTTCTACGCTCGATAAATATTTTCGCATATATTTCAATACATAAAGTTTAAAGCCAAGAGAAACTCGAGAGACTCAAAGTATTTAACGCTATATATTATTAACAAATTATAAAATATATTTCGTAATAATAATAATAATATTAATAATATTATTATTAATAATAATAATAATAATAATAATAATAATAATAATAATAATAATAATAATAATAATGATGATAATAATGATAATAATGATAATAATGATAATGATAATGATATTGATATTGATAATGCATAAAATCAAGCAGTAAACGAGATATTTAAGATTAAATTGGGAATGTTCATTGGAAGTTATTGATTTCAATTATAACATATTGAAATACATTTAAATTTTCTAAAAAAAAAATTCAAATTTATATTACAACCTTTTGAGCTAATTAATTCAATTATGTACTCGCTAATCATATATGATACATTTAATAACTATATATATTATTACGTCCGTTTTTAGTTTAATAAACAATGAATTTTACTTGTCAAACGTAATTTCTTTGCAATCAAAAATTTTCGTCATCATTATCGTCATTATTATCGCTATTATTGGTGTTGTTAAAAATATTATTATTAGTACTACAACTATTATTATTATTATTATTAAATTCTTAAATATTAAATTATTTCATTTTAATTATTTTAAATTATTAAATATACAATGACATTATTATAAATAACGTAAAAATGCCATTATTCGTTTGAATAATTTTCATGCTAGAGCATATTACATATTTCTTATTGGTAAAAAAAGTATAAAAAAAGCTAACTATCGAATGTTTATTTTTCAAAATAGTAGGAATTGAGAATAATTGGCACCGTATATCATATACAAATCCAAATATGCCTAAATATTCGAAACATTTTTGCCAAAAATATTATTTGAAAATGAAAGGACGATTAATAAATTAATTACTTTTGATCGCAACTGTAAACTAAAAGTAAATTTAATTTATATGAAAACAAATGACTTACCAGACACGGCTTCACCATTGAACGTCATCTCAACCAAGTGTGTGACAGCCTCGTGGGGAACAAAGGATGCCAAAAATCTTTGACTTCCGAGAGTTCGAACGAAGCTAGTAACGTGTCCACCGTTTACGAGAATTTCTAGGTTCCCTGAACCAGCTCTCGAACCATCGACTATGAAAAAGTAAATTTTTAATTGCTAAGTAATCTGTACACATACGAATACAAATTTCAAGGAGTATTTTTATAAATTGTTCATTTGTTGCTAAATTTTTATTCTTAAAATGTTAATTTTTATGTATTACGTAATATGCATTAATGTTAAAGATCTGCATTGTAAAAAGATTTTCTCTAATTTTTAAATATAAGAAATATCCGCCTCACGATACTTATAGGTGTACAAAGTTTATGGTGAGTATTACATTTTTTATACGACAAAAATTATGTTAGACAACTTTAATACAATATTATAAATATTAACAGCAAAATATATAAATATTTATAAAATAGTAATACTATGACAAGTTATTTAATTTTTTAAAACAAATAATTTCTTAAATAATAAATAGTTTAATCTCGTGTTATTAAAGTATTATTATTATTATTAACATCGTCTTGGTAATTATAATATTCTTTAAGATAAAATATCGAATGAAAAATTACAAACGAAATTTGAATTGATAAGCTTATAAGCTTACTTTCAAATTCAACTGGCTCATTAATGACACCATTAGGTATATTTCCAACTTGAATAGCTTTAGAGTTGTATGCTTGAGACCTGTAATATAAAACATATTATGCATAAAATTTCTGTATTTTAATTAAAATTATTTTCGATTAAAATGAATATACAAAAAAAAAAAGAAGAAAAAAAAGAAAGTATAATCGTGTATTCTTTCTTATACGACGAAATATTTAACGAGAATAATTTAATGATTTAAACATTTATTATTATTGAAAGATATACATGAGCACGATTGAACAACGTACGGTTTGATATTGAAGAATAAAAATTATTTATTTTAAGCACTTTTCACAATATTCAAGTTGAATTATCGAGAGTAATGACATGATTTATATAAATCATCGATTGATTTATACGAAAGTTAATTTTCAAATATTAGATAATGATTTTACTTTAAATTAAATTCTTACATACAAAATATTGTCAGGCAATGCATACAAAATTATATCAGGCCAAGTAATATGCAAGAATCCACGGAATTCAACAGCCTCGCTTTCATTGTCAAGCATTTACGATAAATTATCCTAAGTAATATAATCATAAAGATCTGTATAACTCTCTAATTAATACTTAAATTTAATTTAAAAATTTTCTAGTTATTTAATTGTTTATTTATCATGATGTTTACCTGTGCTCTAAAGCAACTGTAATCCCGCGAGTATCGAATATCGAACTCTTAATAGAAAAAATGTATTAAAAATTTATCTTAACTTGTATAATCGTTGTGTCAATAAAAAAAAAAAAAAAAAAATAAATAAAAAATAATAATAATGATAATAATAATAATAACAAATAAAACAACCATATCAATTTATTAAAAAAATGTTTTAACACAGTTTAATGAAATGCTAAATTCATTAAATTATTAACGCCAATCAATATATCGATCCACAAATGTATTTAAAAGTTTCAAATTTTCTATCCATTTTTTCCTTTTAAATTAGGAATTTTTTTCCTTTTTTCGTAAAAGAATTTACCTAAATGGTGAACCTTTGATGTGCTGACCATTATAAAGTATTTGAATAGTATGCTCTCCGACTTGATCTGCGGTTATAGTGTACGATTGACCTCGAATTGTCGACTTTTGTACAGGAACGGGTCTACCATTTGGACCTAAAATAATAAAATAAATAAATATCAAATAAATATTGCATTTAAAAAATAATCAAATTCCATGTACTATTAAACGTGTGATTAGTTATGAATATTATTTGATTGGAACAATGATAACAATATTCCTTATTATAAACACTATTGCAAGAAGAAACGTAGCGTTATAATTGTACATAAGAATGCAGATTTTAATGGAATTTTTTTAATAAAAATAATAAAACTAAACATCAGCAATGTATTTAATCTATATATATATATATATATATATATATATATATATATAAAACTAAAATAAAATAAATAACGAGATATTACGCTACCGGTAACAATTACGGCAATTCTGCTAGTGTCTAAACTAGAATCAAGGGTAAAGCAAGTCGGGCGATGCACGGCCAACATTTGTAGTGCGCTGCCGGTCGCCATTGTCTCTTGATTAGACATTGTACGTAAATGCGATGATTCGTCTTTTAAATATTGCTGCTTTTCTTGAATCGTCGTGGTTGTCATTGTTGTCGTCATTGTCGTAGTCGTTGTTGCTGTCGTGATCGCAGACATCGTGGATGCTGCCACGGATGAAACTGTATCAACGACATCTGGCCTTAATGGGCTATTGGCTTTATTTTTCAATATGCCTCGTGAATTGGAAAACGAGTCGGTGGTATTTAATTTTGGTGAGTAAGTGTACTCGGAGCTTGAAAACTTTTTCAGTGACGAATAATTTGCCGATGAATTTTGAATACTGACATTCGGCAGTTCGTTTCGGTAACTGTTGTTGATGCTATTCGAGCTCGTCATCGTCGATTTATCCGCAATCGATGAATTATTGGCTAAATTGGCCAAAGATTCGAGGCTTCCGTAAGAGAGGAGTGATTTGGTTTTCGCTATCGCATCCCACGAGTCGCGTCTCGCAGCACCTCCAACCATTGACGAAACTACAATAATTAATCACATTAATTATGTTAAATTCTTTTACAATGGCTTTAGAGTATTATTGGTATGTGAGTTGTAGCGTAAGTAACTTTAATACGTAATTATTATTCGTCCTGTTAATGATTGCGTTATTAAATTGAATGAAATATAAGTAAAATTATCGATAGCGAATTAAGAGTAGTAATCGATATTTTTGTATTGCTATTAAAATGTATTTATAATTGCACAAGGATAATTATTGCACGTTGAAAAGTTTTCTTTTAATTGTAATTGTACAGTGCATCTTTAAAAATTCTTAAAGCTTTTATAGATTGGCTGCTCGATTAGAGCATTAGAAGATGATTACAAGATGGCGGCTTATTGATAATTTCATAAATTAATCGCACTCGACTACGCATTTCCAATATCTCATAAATTATATTGGTAAATTAGAGTATGTGTATAATATTTTTTATTAAATGCGGGATTATTGATGAGTTTTTTTTTACCTTTTACATTACTACTAGTATCTACAATGCCATTATCTCCGGATCCTTTTCTATTTGAATAACTATGATGGTATTCTTGCTCGCTAGTTTTGGAATTTGAGCTGAATGAGTTATTATTAAGCGAACTCTGCAATACTGAATTACCAAAGTTCATGGGACTATGGCTCGGTGATCGATACGCATCTTTCGACTCTTCGTGAAAATTGGAACTAGGCCAGGTAGGCGATCTGGAATGCAATTGGGTGTAAGAGCCAGAGAAGTTGTCCTTGTTTCGTTCATTCATCACCGATGGACTATGCGAGTTTCTTCCCGATAAGACCTGATAATTGCTCGCGGTTCGCGGCATTTGCTGCTGATTCGATGTATTAAGCTTATCAAAAGTCCTGAAGGTGCTTGTGTAAGAGGATGGTGACGAGGGCTTGAAGATGGGCGACGAGGCCAACTTGGGTGATAGGTCGTGGGTCGTGTTCAGCCCGTTCATCCTCCGCTCAAGAGATGAGATATTCGAGCGCTCCAAGCTGTTAGTCTGCGAAGACTCTCTCGAACGCCTCGAGCCTCTCTGGGTCCCAACGCGCAATGAGAAAGGCGAGCCGCGGACATCCGAGCCGTTAAAATACACGTAGACGCGGTACTTGCCGTGGTCACGTGGTACAAAAGATGCGCGGTACTTCATGTGGCCCGACTCTTGAAGTATGTGAGATATCGATTGCTTGTCATGGACAATATCGATGGCGATGTCACCGAGGCCTCCGGTGCTGCTGGCATCGACGATGAATGAGAATGGCCGGCCCGGGAGAGCGCCTTCCAGGTCTAGCAACTGCACACCATTGGGATCGAAAACGAAGCACGTAAAGGGACCACCTTGAATGTGATTTCCCTTGTGGGTGATGGCTATGCTCCACTCCCCGGTCTCATCCGGTTGGAACGTCGCTACGTGCACCCCTTCGTTCTCATGCACTGGACAGCTGAGTGCTCGGCCCGTTGGTGACCAAGCAGTTACATTAATACCATCCTGACTAGTTCCTACAGACCAATAAACACGGCTCTTTATGCTTTATTTTTTTATTTTTATCGAAGCCTAAGGAATATGCAAGCTCAGTGTTGTCTTTCTTTGTTATAAAAAATTTAAAAAAAAAAAAAAAAAATAAAAAAAAAAATAAAAAAAATTTTAAAAAAAAATTAAAAAAAAAAAATCGCTTGAAAAGTAGTGAACGAATGAAAAATCACTTTAAGCATTTAAAGGCTATTATTGATAATAATAATTTCTAGCATTGCAATATTTAACTTTGTACAGGACAAGTACTTACCATAACTATTGACTAGAACCTCGACAATAGATCCGATCGCGCAAGGATCCATGCCAGGCGATTTGATTTTGGTTAGCGGAGGATGTACTCGAAAATAATACGGGCATCCATTTAGGAGCTCACCATCGTTATACACCATTAACTTTAAAAGAAAATTAATAATACAAACTATTATTACGAGTGATAAAGTTATATTTGCTGGCCGAAGATCTCGAATTTTAACGAACATCATTATCAATTCGCTATGATATTTAAACTTTAAAGTAATAATCAATGCAATATGAATAGGCATTAATTAATCAGTATTAATGCAATTTACAATTATAATTGTTATCACAGTTATTTTTATATTTATAATTATTTTCTGGATAAAGAAATTGTACATGAACGGATTAAATAGAAAATAGAAGCAATTCTACTGGAAATTGCATTTTTCGTGAAGTTATAGTATATTTTATATATTAACGATTTTATTATAAAAATCTAATATACTATAAAACTTAATGTGAAAGCAATTTATATTACGTTAAATGGTATTGTAATAGAGTACCTTGTGCATTCCAACTTCAGTAGGGACGAAAGTTCCTTTTCCAAATAGGCCATTCCACGTTAGTCTACACTCTGTACGGCCACTCGAGCTAATTACTTCGCCACGTATTTCTCTAGTGTTTACCTCTTTGGAAAGTAATTCCAATTTGAAGTGGGCCTATACAACAGCATTTAAGACAATAAAAATACACTTTTATATATTAGGAACGAAATACGAGATAACGAAATAATAAATTTTAATAAAATTTTAAATGCTATATGCTAATTATTTTCTTTAGTTAATTATTAACGTTGCGTGGCGTGCAAAATTAACAGAGATAAAAAAAAAATAAAAAAAATAATAATAAACAAGAAAAACGAAAACAAAAACTTACCGGTTGATGAACTCTCGCTGAAGTACTGTCAATGTGAACGGACACCTGTTCACTCACTTGTGGTCGAGGCTTGACCCACTGGAAATAGGCAGCATAAGCCATAACACCCAGATGTTCTACATTTTGATCCGCCATGTCTTTTGCCTTAAGCAATGGCTCGACGCCCAATTTCTTACCTCCGTCAATTCCTTTATGAATAAATAAAAATTCAGAATTTTTCAGCAAATTATTTTCTATAATATCTTATTTTTACATTAACAATAATTTTATTATTGACAATTATCTATTTTACAGAGACAAAATATTGGAAGCTAATATCGCCATAAAATATTTAATTATATGATTATTTTAATAGTATAGCGGTAGGATATTTTTATGATTTAATTATTTTGTTCTATAGAATACGTAGACAATGTACTGGATAATTATCATTATCTAAGACTTCCATTCGCAATGACCACTTATGATTTCTTTAATATCAAACGGATACGGAAGAGCACTTTGCGTCACACGATGGGCGAAGTCGTAGTTATGGGTTTTGTAACAGACTTTTGTGAGAAGCAATTCGATAAGGAAGAAGAAAAAAAAAATTATAAAAGTCATATAACATCGATAAATAAAGAAATTTGTATCGTGGTTAATCTTAATATTTACAACAAAATAATTTCTGAATAATTAAATGATGTTAAACAAGAGGGTGTTCCATTGATTTATCTTTATATTGTATTTAAAAAAAAAAAAAACGATAACAATAAGAAAAGAGTATGACATATAAGTAACACGTTGGCACTGAGATATTGTTTGACGAGTCGCGGATAACAATTTAACTTCTTAAAGTAGTAAATGACCAATTTACATGAGTAATCGCGCGTACATATGTGGGCAAAGCAATGGAGCAACTCATAGCAGTGATAAGATGAATGATATCGAATGATCGAAGAACGATCGAGAATAGCAATGACCATAAGTATATTTGACACCGTGCGTGAAAAGTACGGAAATTGTAAAATGGAAGCTGTTCAAGTAACGTGCAATGCAAAAGAAAATGGAAATAATCTTGATTCTGCGAGTTTTAAAAATAATTGAGATATAATTGAGAAAAATACTAGCGAGTTCTTGCATTCCCAATTCAGTTCAATCTTGTAATAAATCAACCAATTGCATTTAACTATTTTAAAATATTGTAATGTTAATTTCTAGTTTAAAATTGATTTTTAAATAAATGAATTGACAAATTCTTATTCGTATTGATAAACATTATATAATCAGCTATATAATAACGAAGGATTATTTTTTTTACCTAAAGCAGTTATAATTTGTAATTATTTGTGTAATGCGTAATAGGTGATGAAGTTGTTTTTTTTTTTTTTTTTTACATGTAACTTCTAACCAAAATGAATTAGCAAAATACCTTACCTAGCTGTAAATTGTGCTCCCACGACGAAGAGCTTAAATCTAATTTGTCATGAGATGGAGCTGGGCCACCCAAATTCCTTACAAGACTGCACAGTGCTTTACCATCGTTCCAATCAGTCTATACGTTTTTAACAAATAACAAAAGTAGCTGAGATTATGCTAAATGAATTTTCTTTTTTTCAATCGTTGTTCAAGGCTTTGCCGAATGCTATTGAATAATTAAATATAAACTAACGATTTCTACATGAAATGAATACTCACTGTAAAATTTCTGACTGGACTGTGTGGAAGCTGAGAATTCACCCATCTAAGTGTCGAATGAAAACCTGGCGAGCCTTCCTTCATAAAATACGATAGATAAGTCATGCCAGATAATTCATCCAAATAGGCCGATGCAAGATACTCTGGCTGAAGGACCATTGGAATATCAAATTCTCGCTTTGATATTTCCATAGCTTTTCGGCAGTTGTAAACACTATTAAAATAATTGAACATACGATATTAGCATACTAATTAGAATATTAACGAATAAATATATTGTCTATAGTTTAAGTATTTATGTTTGTTTAAATTATATCAAAATTAGCTAAGTGGAAAGATAAATTATTTTATAAGAACTTAATTAAGAAGATTTAATTATCTAACGATTAGAAAATTTAGCGTTTATCATTACAAAATTATTTCTGATTTTGCATAAACAATACTATTATTTAATAACGTAGTGCTCTCTAAATGGTTAAAAAAAAAAAAAAAACTTTGTTAAAAATTTTAATATATAATTGATAAAAATATTATGACATACAATATGAATTGAAACTGAAATATTAAGTTACAAACAATTTTCTATTAACTTTTCTTTTCATTCACTCTTCTTGTAAAAACTAATTAAGTAGGCTTATTACAATCGTCTTTTATTTATAAAAGCTTTATACCGTTTTTATAAAATTTTGAAAATAATTTATGCCATGAATCTTTGGCTAAATAAGAGAATCGATTCCTAACTCATATCCGGACTGTCGACATGTCGACATCAACGACAAAGACAGTATTATTGCGCCACATGTGTATAGACATGGGCATGAAACCTCCGCCGTATACAACTTATTGTACGAGTGATTATTCGAAACTACCATTATACGCGAAACTCATATAGTATATAATAAACAAAAAACTATATTTTCATTGGGATTTTACAATTTTTCTTATTGCAAAAAATCTATAAAATATTTCATTTATGTAGTAAAGAATGTTGTACTTGTCAGTAGGATCGAGTTGACGCCAATGCGGGAAGAGTCCAGGTTTACAATAATTCAGGAGTGCGCTTAGATATACTCCGGAATTCCAATCGGTTGTAAAGTTATTTACTCTGCACTCTGGTAGGACAGCCTAAAAATAAATGATATTAAGTTAAAATTATAATATTATACGCCCGTCTATAGATAAATAAAAATAATATTTTAATTAACTAGAGATAAGTAATTGTAAAACAAGAAGGACATTAATTTCTTAAATGGCCTATCGAGAAAAATTGAAAGATTTATTTTATCAAATACATATGTTACAGCGAAAAATATATTACGAAAAAATGAATGTAAATAATTCATAATGCAATAATTGATCAATTCATAATAATAATAGCTTAAAGAAATGTGATTTTTTTTTTAAATCTAAATTTACGAACTTTTTATGGCGTTCATTGCAAATTATGCTAATGACGTATTACAATGAATATATTAAAGAATTCAAAAACGTGTGGAAAAAATTTGGATTTCAATTTGGAAATACGTGGGGAATTATTGTTCTACATTATAATAGATTCGGTTGTAAATATATGCATGTATAAAAAATCCTTATACATGAGTATTCGTTCACTAGAATCGTTAATTCACTTTCATTAAATTATTCAATAATAAAATCCACCAGACTTTATTGATCTTTTAATAATCGTATTTCTTCAATCTTTACATATTTTAGTAATTTAAAAAATCAAGTAAACGTAACGTTTTAATTTCGCGTCAATTTAATTTCTAAAATTAAATAAAATACAATATTACATAAAAATTTTATTTAATAAATTATCTAATCTATTTTTAAATTATTTCAGTAATTAAGCATTTAAATTAATAATATCAATTTCATTACAATTACTCTCGTTATTAAACAAACTTTAGATTTTGATTATAGGGAAACGTTTGCTTGCTATTTCCTCTACTTTAGTTTACTATTATTTTTTATATAGTGCTTTTAAGATGTAATAATAAAATAAAAATTTTTTAGCCTATCTTAAGAAAATATAATTTGTACAGTAGTAATTTTAACATTTAGATGTGAATTTGTTTTTGGTCGTGAAAACATAAATTGCCGATTTGACAAGACATTTTTTTTCCTCTTATACTTATAAATTCGTATTCGAATTACCAATTGATTAATGTTTCAAAATATTATGAGAATATAATTTTAATTCAACGTCCAATGGTTAAAATGTTTTAAATCTCAACATAAATATATAAAAATGAAGTCACATTTGAACTCGAATATGTATATAAGCAATATGTGTTTAAGAAATAAAGTAAAAAGCTTGAGTAATGTAATTTATTCCAAAGCATATTTTTGAAAATCTATTTAATATTTATACACTTTTCGAATTATAATTCGTATGTAAGAAAATTTCTAGATATTATATGAATCATTATTAGATAATTAATTATTTATATTGATATATCTGTTATTAAGTAGTTTATTATTATAATAAATGTATATTTTAATTTCAATACATTACAATTATACAAAAATAATTTGTCGAATAACTAAAGAATTTGTGTTTTAATCTTGAATAAAATAATAGCTATTTTAATATATGATTATACAAATATGTAACAAATTTTCGAATTAACTAATAAAATTGATGCACATTTCGCATTATTACTAAGGCGAGTATTAAAATAGTAAAAAATAATCTATGCTTTTAATGAAGTCGAGAGCATAGTGAAAATTCTTAAGAAAGAAACAATTAACATCTATATATATATATATATATATATATGTATATATAATAATAGGTTTCGTTAAATTTAATTCATACAATAGAAGAGCAAACAACAGTAAGAATAAAACTCGTAATTAGCAACGAATTACATTCTTATTTTGTTTAGTGTACTAACCTTGAGCCAGGAAAGCATGAGTTTCCTCGGTGGGAATTTGGATTTGCCTATTTGGTATCTGACAATGAGCGACCATATTAAACCAAGGATCAGCTTGAGGTTACCGTTAACGATGTCGACATTACCTTCAAATGTGAAAAGAATAGTTGCATTTAGTTATTTACTCAGTGTTTCTGAAAACCTAAATAAAAACCATTTTGTATTTATATTGATATTTATGTGATGCTTAAAAAAAGAATGAAACTTCAGCGGCTTTAGGCGTATGGTCTATCATTAAATACTCTACAAGTAGAATGCATTTTTAATTATCTATTTTCTTTTTAAGTTAAAATTACATTTTTAATTTTAAATGTTCACATGATCTATGTATTATTCTATGCAACTCGAGTTATTATAATATAATATTATGGCAAATGGAATTTATGAAATGATACTTATTAATAAAATGTTAACAAAATTTGTTAAAATTCATTTCACATGTTCATATGACATATGAAGGAAAATTAAGTTATTTTCGTAATGTATGTAAGATTTAAAAATTACAAGAATAGTTTTAATTATATAAGAATATTTAAAGTCATTACTCTGGCGCCTTGACCTCTTAACATACACATGTTCACAAAAGGTTGTATGTTTCTTGAAAGAAACGTTAAATATAATTGTGAATAATATATTAAAATAATATACATTAATATCAATATATCAAATTATATATAATTGTAAAAATGGAATTTTAAACATAATGAATAATTATATGTTTGAGTTGAATATTCATTTAAAAAACATGTGACTATGTGTTAAAGCGCATATTTATTTAGGCTTATTCGATACTTTGTCGTTGTTTGAAATAAAAATAATTACAAATAAAATCATAGAAAATACGCTGTATTATTTTATTTTAGAAATTTAGTCTGACAATTTTTTTCTTCGTTTCTTTCTTTATAATATTGCGTTTTTCTAGATTCATATTTATTACTGTGTCATTAATTTGTCTAAAAAATTTAACAATTGCAGAGTTCGTGTTAATGTTAATGTAACGTACATGACGAACAATATATTATTTTAGATAGAAATTATTATTTTTCCGTTATTATTATACTTATTGTAAGTATATAGTACAGAGTTTATGAGACAAGGAAGTAAGTTCCTTAATTTTTTCGCATTAGAAGTAAGATAAACTTTACATAAAGAAAAAACATTTGTTATTCGAGTTACACATACTCTTATAAAAGCATTCGGAATATTAGGAGAATTTGTTAAGAGCAAACCGTACAATAATTTTTTTTCTTCTACATTTTATGTCTTATATTACTCAAAGAATCTTTATTTTATAGAATAATTTAACGATTGTAATTAAATCAATATATTTGAGTTATGATTATAGGTCGTTAATGAACAATTGATTTAAATTTATAATAATTTTGTTAGGAATATGATGAATTTTAATAATTTGAATTTATTGGCTAAATAATGATTTTTGGAAATACGTGGAAATTCCCTTAGTGTAATTAAATCTACAATGCGATTATAAATATTTGCGTTATCAATATAAGATTTTTTAAAAGTTTTTATAAACATGGTAATTTTAACTTAATAAAAATCTTCCAAGTTTAAATTAAAAATTAAATTTAAAATTAGTTTTTGACTATTTTATATTACATATATATTTTGAATTATTTTATAATAGACGAACTTATGTAATATCATGATGATATGAAATTTACTATATTGAAATAAAATGACGCGAAAAATTGATTTTACCTAACTGATTTTCAATCGCAATCGCTCAAACTAATTATATGTTTTTGTAATGAAAAAGAAAGTTAACATTATTTGGAAATCCACAAATCATATTATTACTCACATTAGTTATTATTTATATCTAATGGCTACATTAGTTATTATTTATATCTAATGACTACATTAGTAAGCTCTTGCAAAATCAACATTTTCGAATAGTCAATTAGTAAAGAAATGACTTTGTTTATGGTGTACAAACTTCAAGCTTTAAAAACTATGTTTTACACTATATCAGTGTTTATGGAACTGTAAAATTTTATATTTTAAATGCTTAAATTGTATTTGTTGTTGGAAATGTTAAGCAAACTGTATAACAATATAAATTTTAAAACCACATTTTTTGTAACAGTAAAATTATATATTTATATTTATAACAGTACAATTATAACAGTAAAATTAAATAAATATAAATTCGACGTTAAAAAGTATAACAGATTAATAGAATTCTGTGTTAAATTGAAAAGATGTTGATACACTTTGTAATTAGTTGAATCAGATAAAAAATAATTAATAGCATTGTATTCGTGTGTAAACATTCATGGTTGAAGTATATTAATGCGAATTAAAAAAAGGCCGTTCCCATCTGTTGAAGAAAATCAAAGTCTATATTAGTAGATGAATACGTTTTTAGGAGAGATCTCTAATTAATGAATTTGCAAAATATAATTTTAAATACTAAACTACCGTTAAATAGATATATTACAAATGGATTTAATAAATCTATTGAATAAAATTGATAAATACGCGTTAGAGAATATTTGTTTTAAAAGAAATGAACTCTTTATTATTGAATATACGATAACAAAAATAACTGTGCATACTAATAAATTAATAAAACGTGGTAATTCGCATACAATTAACTGTGAATATATACGTACTTGAACACAATAGATCACTGTATTATAACAATAATAGAAAACATAAGAAAAATCGTTTGATAAAAGAATAGAGACATATTATAGCATTTAATAAGTTTTTTAAAGCATATATTAATTGATAAGAGAGATTAAAACATTTTATGGTTTAATAAAAAATTTGTATATGGTAGCACGTTCAAAAAAATCTAATGATAATTTAAATCACTATATATATATATATATATAGATTTAATATATAAAAAATTAAAGATTAATTTGCTTCGTTCGTTATAATAATTATTTATAATTTATGTTTGGTAAAATACAAAAATTGTAATAAAATATTACATTTTAATAAAACCAAAAATAAAAGAAAGTTGAAATTGTATTTTAACGAATGAACGCTATATAAACAGTTCGGATAAACTAATAATGAAATAGTTTTAAATAACACAATAAAGACAATGTGTGTTTCTTCTTGATTAACAAATTTCTTAATCACAATTGTTAGTTTAATAGACGAGTTAAGACGTATAAAGAAAAGAAAAAACATATTTGTATAACTAGAAAGAACATAATCTCAAGAAAGTAAAAGAAAGGTATTACAAAGTATTTCGCAAAATAATATTATGTGGATATAATTGATAAGAAAAATTTGTATAATTATGGTAGAAAACGAAAAATGAAAAGGATTATTAAGTGGGTAGACGCTTAAAGCAAATATGCATAAATCATTAAAAAAATGTAAGTGTGCACATGAAAAGTATTTTTTGTTGGATTGACTTAAATAAATTAACACTAGTCTTTGACGTTTCGTATATAATTATCTATTCAATTTTCTACTTTTTCATTTATATTTAGTAAATATTAATATCTGAAATGCAAATGAATAAAACTTTCATTAAAAAAAAAAAAAAAAAAAAAAAAATTAAATTAAATTATTAATAGTTATGACATTTAGAAGAAATTTACAAATTTTATATCAATAAAATATAGACATTTATATATACTTTTATAATTTAATTTACCACGTACTTCAACATTATTATTCTATTTGCAAAATCTGTTTTTAACTAAATAATAATTTTTAATCAACATAATAAAAACTATAATTTTATAGTAATTTTGTCGTTAAATCTTTAAAGTGTCATCGTTAGTGTTCTCAATCATAATGTTAAACATTTTATATGTCTTTTTTAGAGGTAAAATTCGATAATATTTTATGATGCCTTATACGATAAAATTTTAAAATGTCTTTTTTAAGAAAGCATTTTACTACCATAATTAATAGCCATTTTACTATGTACGATAAATTCTATCTTTAAATTCACATCGTCGACATGTAATTTTGATGATTTGCAATGAAAATATTTCGTGAAAAATGTAGCAAAAAATGTAGACAATGGTACATGAAGATTTTGTAAAAGTATATATAGACACAAACGACCATGACAATGATAATAAAAATTAAATTCTCAAAGAGAAGTTAAAGGACGAGAAAAAAAAACCAAAAACAAAGTAACTATACAATCCAGAGTACACGAAAAGTATCGTGGGACTAAATAGTTTTGTACCGGGCAATAAAAGGTGGAAAGGCGGTGAAAGTGATCCTAAGTTCAGAGGTAAAAGTGAAACTTAAGTGAAAAATGACGTGCCGATGTTATTTTCCGACAAAGTTCAGAGGTGGAAGTAGGAGATGGTCGTGGTCGTTTTTAAAATTGTCCTTTATAATTGTCGCTTACTATCTAATATATAAATTATCTAACGAAGGGAGAACGCTTCCTTTCCCTTACTAACGCAAATTAATAAGTCGATAACTACCCATTACCCAATAGGCGTTTGTTTTTTATTTTCATCGCATGTATATTGTATGGTGACGTGAGTACGTGAGCCGAGTGTCAGTAGTCGCTGACAATTGACAAAGAATTGCCGGAAGGAAGCAGGAGACAGAAGACTTAGAATGGCTCTAACTAAAATTCCTCGCAGACGACGGGAACAATAATGAGCAAACGAGGCGTCTTTGCGACACGCTTGCAAGCGCATGAATAATTGTGTATTCGTGCGCGCGCTCGCGCGCGCCTACGCGCGGGCAGGTAGGTGGGCGAATTTGGGTGTGTGTGTGAGAGTGCGCGGGCGCGCGCGAGCGCGCGTGTATATGTGCAAGGTAGCAAGGAGGATAGTAGAATCGTAAATCGGCGGCTCCAACTCACCGATGTTGACGAGTTTCACGCCGTCAGCCTCCACGGCCTTGAGCGCCGTCGAGACATTCTCAAGATAGTGATGCTGATTAACGGGTCGGGGATTCCACTTGGCGAGGCGTTTGCCGGTCAGGATCTCGACGAGGGCGCATAGCCGCGTTCCATCCCGGAAGTCATCGGCGAGGTCAATGACGGGTCCGCAATCGCGGCCGCGCTCCGATTGCTTCAGGTGCTCGTTCACCCAGTTACGGAAGGTGTTAGCCTGGATATCCACCCAGAGATCCTCGTGGCCCTTAATAGGCATGCCCTTGGCAGCTGTACCCTCTGCAGATCGCGCTACCAGGCCCACGAGCTCCGCCGGCTCCAGCTGCTCCTTACCCTGGCCCTTCTCCTGCATTTTGCTAGCGCACCATATAAGACGAGCGACGGTAGCAGTAACACCAGCCAAAGTTGATCGCCTCCACCTCCGCGCGCATTCCCCAAAATCCCCTCCCCCCGGTGGCGCGCACCTGCCGCAGGTCGCTCGAGACGCAACAAGTGTCTAGCGCCTGCGCGCTACGACGACTGCGTGGCGCGGCTCCAACGGCACTCCGATATCACCGAGACATCGCGCGCCTCTGCGCGACTCCTCGCTACTGCGTCGGGACCGTCGCCGGTGAACGTCTGGAGCCTCGAGGTGCGCCGAGGTGCGCCCACTAGCGCCGCGACGCCCCCGCGCCCTTTCCTTTACCAACAACAACAGCGGCTCTCCGCAGTATTCAATTCATCTACGCTCTCATCCATTCTCCTTCTCATTCTCATTTGTCTCCGCCTTATCTTCTCCCTTTACCTTTCTCACTCTCTCTCTCACTCTCTCTCACTCTCTCTCTCTCTCTCTCTCTCTCTCTCTCTCTCTCTCTCCGAATGTCTCCGAACGCTACGCACGAATTTTCAACGTCGAGTCCAGTTCCATTATTACCTACGTCCCAACAAATCCGTGTATGTGCGCACACTCGCCCGCCCCCCCCCTCCCCCTCCCGTCAACTCACCCACACCTAGGCTATCCAACGATATTTTGACTTTGACTTGCGATTAGCGCTTATAACCTAACGTTCTGTCATTAGCGCAACATTCATTATTACTCGACTAGAATATTATATGAGGCTGTGAGGCTACATACGTAATACCGTTTCTTTTATTCGATCGGTTTCCTATATTTAACCACTACCGATTCCCATCCAACATTGCCGATTAACGATTAGTTATTATCGAGAATTTGTTTTTTCAAAATTTCAAATTTCTTCCACGAAATTGTTTGCGGAATGTGCAGCCGCAGTGAATGAATTGTATCCACGTATGGACCCATTAGTTTATGATAAAGAATAATATATATCACTTTTACCATGTTTTAATATTAATTTCTATTCAAGAATTTTTTATTTAAAAATCATATAAAAAGAAAATAATTAATAATATGTAGCGAACTTTTTATTAGAATGAAAAATAAAAAAAAATTTATTAAAAGAGGTACTCTACTCTATATCGTTCTCTCCCCCCCCCTCTCTCTCTCTCTCATTCAAATGTATATAAGCAGATAGATGCACGTATATTTGTATTTACATATATATTTTTAATATTTTAAAATATCTTTATGTAACTATAATTCAAATTACATAAATGATTGAAGCGTTATTTATTTTATTCTAATAATTATAGGAATATTTTTAAAATAAATAAAAAGTAAAAAATTATTTATTAATTTAAGATAACTCCTTTCACTTTTCTATATTTTACAAACTTTTCAGTTTTATTTAAATTTATTGTATTGATGTTAAATAAGAAAATACAATGAGAAAATGTTATTATTACGTTATCTTTGCATAAATTAATTTTATCTACATGAAATATGAAGTATTTAAATTAATATGAATGTTATTTAATATTTTTATTGGTTTTATTAAAAGTATACAATTGCTGACATTGTGTGTGTGTTTTTAAATTAAATATTTTTTTAGTGCTACATAAATTTAATGAAAAAAGTTTACTTATAACTTTAAATATTGGTGCATATTCTGAAATTACCTTTTAAACAAGATTTTTGTAAATGTATAGTGAAATATTATTTTATACGAGAGAGCCTTTTTAATATTACACAATTCTTCTGAAATATACTTATTAATGTAGCTATAATATTAAATTTTTTTATAATTTTTTTAAACGCAATTTATACAACGAAAAAAGACAATAAATATGAATGTAATAATAATAATAATAATAATAATAATAATAGTTTATTATTAGTCTTAATTTATAAGGATAGTTTAAATACAATGATTACTGATCTTAAATGCAAAAAATGACACAATTCAATTTCGCAACTTGTATTCTATAAATATGTTACTCTTCACAGCTCATAACTCGTCATTCATACTTGTATAGAATGAATAAATAATAGACTTGTCATTTTTTCTCTTTTTTTATTCTATTTTATTTATTTTTTTTTTTTTTTCACTAAATTTACAAGTAGTAAGTATTATCCTGAATTTTTAATTAGCAAATTTTTACTATTCAGAGCAAGGATAATGCACAATTTTATAAATTCTGAAGCTTAAAATTGGCAAATGACAAATCTGATTATCCCATTAACATATCCGCTAATACTTAATATAGACAAAGTGCATTTTTAATATATTTTACAGTATATACTTCTCAATGCATTTTTTGACTAGTTCAATAATACAAATGCTAATATATTTTGCACAATCCTTACTTTCTGATTGTTTAAATGTTTCATCACGAAATTGGATATTAGTATATTTTATAATTTGATAATGTATAATTGCATAATGCGATTCTGAAACTCGAACTTGACTATAATACACATGCGAATACAAAATAGTGAATTCAATAATCGATATTTTGTTGGTATTTATTCTAAATGTAGTTTTTACTCGCATATTTTTAATTTCTCTTTGAATTTCAATTTAATTTAAATACTTATTTTTTTTTTTTTTTTTTTTAATAACATTTTATAGTATTTTTTCTCCAATAAATATAAAAAAGATATTGTATTATACGCCAAAAGTACAAAATTTTTTTATAATTACAAAGTAGATATTTATCATTTAAAAAATGTTCATCTTTGTTCTCATATTTTAATATACGATTTTAATTACGATTTTCATATACATCTAATTATTTACATTCATCAATATACAAATTAACAACTTAAATCATTATATTCATAAGCACAGACTTCAAATGCACTTAGCGTAAATAATCCTCGGTTATATTCCTAATATTACGTCACATCATATTTAGATGTTTATGGTGATACTTATAAACTAATTAATAATATTATTATAATCGAATGTAAATTTGTTATTACTAGGATAATTTACATTATTCACCTTATAATATTCTGAAACTAAAATCTATTTATATAATATTTATATAATATTATTTTAAACAATGCTTCTAAAAGTTTGATAAATGATATTTAACATTAAATCCGTATAATTTAATTAAATAAATTTAGTAAATTTATTTTATGTACACATTAAAGCACACATACTGGCACATATATCTTCTACAAATATTTTGTTTTATATATTGACTGCTGCATTAATTAGCATTATTAATTAGAAAGAAAAAAAAAGAATGAATAAGAATTTACACGAAAAATGATAAAAACCATGAAGTAAAATTTCAAATATTTTTGTCTGTAATTATGCAGTTCATTTTCGAAATAATTATCAAGAAATTTAAACAAAGTAAAAATACGTGCAATATTATAAACTTTTACACAGACTAACAAATACAATGATTTCGTAAGAACATTAATTTTTAAACACATTAAATATCTACGAATCGTTATTACATTTCATATTTAAAATATTTCTAAGAAAATATTATTGAAAGTCACAAATGTAATAATTTAATATTTAACAAAAAATTAGAATTAAATATTTGAAAGATCGTCATATTATTAGTTTTTAAATTGTAATAATATCCAATTCATATAAATAATCTTTTAATTAATATAGTAGAGCATATTGAGCAACCATATTTTACAAATATATCCATTGTACCGATCTCTTAAGGAAAATATACAATTTTTTTTTTCTAAAATATATACAGTTATTATAAAATATATTACAACAAAAAAATGTTCTAAAACAATTGATAAAACCATTTTTCATAACAGAAAAATTTATAACTAATGAATTCTAAATTTTTGTATCCATATTTTCCTATTTAACGACAATAATAGCATTATTAATAAAAATTACTTAGAGGAATAATAACATTAAATATAACTGAATATTACGAGTACATATTTGATTTAATTTTTTCAATAAATGTCTTATTAAAATAAGAAAAACTTGTTTAATTAGGAAATGGAACCGAATAGTTGTAAAATACTTTTAAATATATTTATATATAATTTTTATAGGAACTAAATGGATTTTTAATTTTAAAACATTCAAGCAATAGATAAAATATATATATATATATATATATATACATTCCGAAATGTTTATTAATTTTGATTTCTTATTTATATTAATATAAATAACTAATATTTAGTAACAAATTAAAATGTTGTATAAAATGTGTATAAACATAGAAATAATACGATAAACAATATTTTAAATTTGAAATATTCTAAAGAAACTATCCAGCTTAAATTTTGATCTACGAACTTAAAATATTTAACATATTGTACATCGATGTAAATTTTTATTAGAATTGCCCAATAAATTCATTAAAATTTTTACAAAACATTAAATATTACAAATAAAATTAAGGTTTAACTCATGGATGGTTTATGTTCAATTGGTGATAGTTTATATTTTGTACTTTGTAATAAATTATAGGATCCATAGGAGCAAAATTTGCTCGATGCAAAAGGAAAGTAAAAGGCCCGAAATAATGGATGTGAGCTAAAAGTATTAAAAATATAACATATTAAATATCGCGATAATGATTATGAACATTGAAAACATCAATCAGTATGACATATTTTTATATATAATTATTATAAATTAATAACAAGAAAAAATTGCAAGTATCTCTGTTTTTTTGTTTTTTTTTTTGTTTATGTTTTATTATTATAAAAATTTGAACTTTAAAAACAAAACTAGACAATATATTTCTTAATTATTTAATTATTATAAAAATATTTTATATCATTCATTACTTAAAATACTTACTTAGATGCATCCAAATATTTTGAAGACTTTAATATAGTAAAACGATTAGGTTGACGTGAATAATTTGGCTCAAGTATTGTTTGCCTACCAATATCTAAATCTAATATAAAATGACACTTTTCGATATCGAACTAAAAAATGTTCAAATATTATGATTAAATTTGAAATAAGAGAAAAAATTGCTAAATAACTTTGATAACGTACATATCGCGAGGGTTCTTCTGCATTCATAAAATTAAAATTTGATGGTATTATACTAGTAGCATTTTCTTGATGTGAAAATTCTTGAGGCAATTGTCCTTTAAATTCTGACTTCAGATATTTCAATTTCCAACTAAAAATAATAACATTAATAGTTAATTACATTAATAGTTAACATTGATAAAAACAATGAGAGTTCAATCACTTAAGCACTAAAATAATATCATAACATATAATAAAATATCGTTTAAATTATAATTATTTGTCAAATTAAGGAATAAAAATTTGTATGAAATTAAATTAACACTAAGAAATATTTTTATAAGTATAGCCTTTGTAACAAATAAAATAATATATGCAATACAAAGTTTAGTACTTACTTGTTTGAGGGAAAGAAAAAGCTGTTTGGAAATCTGTGCCATTCTTTTCCAATGCAAAAATTTATATTAATATCTGTTGGTATTTTACCACTAATACCTAATTTATTTGCCTCTGTCATGACTTCAATAGGTGCGTGGTAACCTGATATTAATTAAAACCGATTTAACAAAATAATGTAAGATACCTATCATATATCTCTCCCATGCATATTCAGGCATTACTGTATTTAGATAAAAATTTAATATTTATAGATATTGTACTTTTTATCATTGTTAAATTACAAAAAAGTATTTATCGCGTTTGAAAAATTTTTTATTACACTTTCTCGAAATTATATTATAAAATCGAATGACTATATTAAATATAAATAGTGTGATGAACATACATTTTTTAAATAATATATGTTGCCTTTTATTCCACCAAACACTTGCCTTGGTAATTATAATTACCTTTATATAAGGTGAAAATTCTAGACAATCCAAAAAATCCACATATAACAATAACAGAAACCATGATATGAGTTGTATTCAGTAAGTAATGCTTTGAAAGTGGTTTATAATTCCAAATTTTAGTTTTAATTAAAAAGTATAATTTTTGAATCACATCGACAGTTATAGCTCCGTTCAAGCATATAAGAGGATATACGGGAAATAGAAAACGTTCTTCCTAAAAACATAATGTAATTTGATGTCAAAATTTTATTTTTAATTATCCTCATAAGCCTTATTTACATTGTATGTCATTTAATTAATTTCACAGCATTTACTTGTTTCTGTTTCATCATATGTATCACTAACCTTATGTGGTTGAAAAAAGAAAACACATATCCATAAATATAAAGGAGCTAGAGAATACCAATAAGGTAAGCACAAGGAACGTCTGGGTTTAGCTGGAACAAAACTCCAATTCAAAAACTAAAAATCATGACAAATATTTGTAAATATTTTTCCACGCATTTCCATTATTTTTATAAATTGTTGAATTTGATTGCAAAGAACTTACTAAAAATAGGGGTGTAAGTAGGGAGCCTATAAATATAAAATTAAAGTTCAAAAATCCATTTACTATGTAGAAACTAAAAGGTTCGGTTCCATAAAGGTTTGGTCCTTGAGAAGAAAAAATATTGTACATAAGAATATTTAATGGTGCAATAACTAATTTTCCATAGTACATTGAATCTATACAAATCATTGGTATCAGAATAACGATTCCTGATATGGCGACCCATTTGAAAAACTTGAGCCAATCTTTTCTATGAAACAGCATTTCGACGGCAATAGGTACACTATGAAATAGGAGTATAAAATTAATTTTTAAAACTTATAGAAGTTTCTAAATTAATTCACTATAGCCTAAAATTTCTCTTACCCAAGTAATGCTGCAAATGGCCAGCCAAGTAAAGAAGAAATCGCTGTTGCAAAGATAGCAAATTCATATTTACGCCCATACCAAGCAGCTATTCCAACTGTACTTAAATACCTAAGGTTATTAAAATAATTAATTAAATTTCACATTATAATCTGTTTTGTATAAAAAATATGAGCTTTTAAATATATGACAAAGCTTACATTGAAAACGATGAGGGTAAAAATGCAGTACTAGAAATAAACATTCCAGTACTAAGTATGAGGAAAGCTAGCGTCAGTCTTGCAATATGTATACCAAATTCGTGAGAAACATTCCTAGATGCAATATAAAGGCAATATTTTATTATCAGTCGCTTTTATATATTTTATACTGTGATATAATTGAACTAACTTATAAAAATAAACCTCTGCTAGAGCACAACCTACTGAAAGCAAACAGCGTACAAAGTAAAACACGTGAATTGGATTTGGTTCTAATAAATAACAATATATCTTAGCGGGTACCATGTGCAATAACAAGTATGTATAAGATCGCAACGCAAATTCCGGACTATATTCCCAAGTTTGTTGACCACTTCTATAGAGCAGAAAATGACTCTGAAAAAAAATTAATCAAATCCTTTTAATAATTACAGTATTATTATTAATTTTTATATTCAATAAATTTCTTACACGCATGTGTATGCTTATGTTTCATGCATGTACATAAAATACTAAAGTAAAGTTGTTGTAATTACCGGTTCCCAAAAATTAAATGTTTCATCGCAGTCTGTTATATGACTCCAAATTGCAGAGCAAAATCTAGCTAATAATAATAATTTAAAAGCAGAGTCTCCGTCAAGATAAAGAAGCCTAACATTGTCTACTACAGCAACATCTTCAAATCTAAATAATAATGATTTAATAGATAAATAGGCGACTAATAATGACTTTAAAAAATGTTTACTTTAAAAAATACATTACTAATATTCATTATTGAGAACATTTTAATTTGAATAGGAATTTTTAAAACTTACTTCTGCTGTTTTTTCCCATTGTTACGTTTAGAATCTTTTTTTAAAAGAACTACATTACGTTGACGCGGTTTAGGTGCCATGTGACTTGTTATTTATGCACTGTAAGAAATAGTAAATAGCATAAGAAAGTATAAAATAATCATTAAATCTAATTAAATCGATTATATATAATAGACTCGATATTTTTATAGTCTTTGTCTAAACGTTAAATTATAGTTATCAGAAAATAGGAAAACAATCATACTGGCATTTATCAATCAGCTAACGAAATGTCAAATAAGACAACAGTTTATAAAAAGTATTAGTACGTGACCGTCAAGACTTTTTTCACCTATCTAAGGGTACTAAAAAATATTCAAATTTTTATTACTATTGCATCTATTTTTAACATTGATAAATTAGATTTAGAAAACTATTAGGTATATTAGTTATCGACAGTTAGATCAGCGTTTTAAAAATCATAAGAAATACAAATTTTAATTGAAGAGCTGAAATTAAAAGTACTCGAGTCAATTAAATTAAAATTAAAATTATCTTACTAAAACTATCTTAAAATTATGTTGTATTTTTTTTTTTTTTTTTTTTTTTTTTTTTTTTTTTTTTTTTTTTTTTTTTTTTATCAATAATTTCTTCATTTAGGCCAATGGGAAGTAAAATTTCCATACGTAAAAATATAGTTATTTATAAATTATTTATTAAATTATTATCTGTCTCAAGAACACGAATATATAATAAAATATTATCCATAAAGATATTTATATGCAATTTATAGTAGTTTTGCATCTAATTTATATTCCTTTTAGTTTGACTCTTTCTGTAAATAAATATTTAATATAGAAAATGAAATTCATTCGGATCATAATCAAGAAAGATAAAAGCCAAACTTTGATACGAAACGAATAAAATATAAATTAAACATATTAGGGATAAAACTATAAGGAGCCTAATATTTCAAAATTCAATGCCAGTTAAGTGTTAATTTCATAAAGTAAAAAAGAAATTCAGAATAAATTACACATGAAATTCAATATTCGGAATATGAAATTTTTCTTAAATATTTTGCTATTACATGGAATATTGTACAAAAATGTTGTAATCGTGACAACATGCAGTACAGCTCTGTACATTTAAGTGAATAAAGTTGTGTTGAATGTTGTATTGCGCGCTAAAGAGTAAACCAATGGAGATCAAATTATTGTGCGCATGACTGACTCATGTCGGAAACCTATTGAGCCTTGAAGTAATAATCAGATAATATTCATGAAACTTCAATTTCTATTTATTTTGTTTACAATACGGATTTTAGTAGCTGTGCTCCGTAAAGTGAAACAGCTAGTAATTTGTGTTTTCGTGATATGTCAACGAAAAGTTCAACAATGCCGTGGCTTTAATTTATCATTAATAATGGCTCAGGCTCAAATCGATTGTTGCAAATCTGTTAGCAGTTGTAGTAATAATACGCATTTTCGAGAATCGGATAAACAAATAGAAAACCAAGATGGTATTATTTTTACAATAATTTTTTCCAAATTCATTATACATAACCACATTCTATTTTTTATACATGTCTTAATATTAATATTAATATTATTATTAATCTTTATATATTTCTTATATTTATATAATCTTTATATATTTATTGTCTTTGTTATTTTTTTTAGAGACTTATTGTGTTGATAAATTATTGTGGTCATAGCATTTTCTATATATTATTTTTAACTATTTCCAGGTACGGTCTCTAGTGTACCAGAATGTGCCGTATGTCTACAAATCTGTGTTCATCCCGCTCGTCTTCCATGTACTCATGTTTTTTGTTATTTATGCGTGAAAGGAGTTGCAAATCAAAGTAAACGATGTCCAATGTGTCGACAGGAAATTCCAGCAGACTTTTTAGAACGACCACAATTAGTTGAGTTAATTGATCAAGTTGAACAAAAAGAAGCTATTGCTGAGACAGATGATTCTTCACACGAGGAGTATCAATGGTTTTATGAAGGAAGAAATGGTAATAGTCTAAATATTCAATGTTATTATTTTATTAGGTATATTTTATATATTTTCCATTTTAAATATATGTCCTATCGATTAAACATTTATCCAATTTAATGTATTTTTTATATGTGTAATGTTAAGCAAATTGTGTAAAAATGAATAATAATTATTTTTAGGATTTGGTATAGATTCGATAGATTTTTAAAATCAAAGTTTTTAACTTAATTTTTGTTTTTGATAAAACTATTGTATTTATTAAATTATATTTTTTGTATTAGAATAAAGTTATATTTTATTAATCAATCATTTATCTTGTAGTGGCTATTAATGAAGATCTAATAAATGTTATTATAAAGATATTACGTTCGATCGTCTCTATCTGACTTTAGGTGTATTTACTAATATAAGCTTATGTAAATAGATTTAAAGGCATTATTAAATTTGTAAAAATTATTAGCATTGTATAGCATTATTTTTATTATTTTTTTTCTCTCTATAATTTTGCATTTGATCATTTCGATATTCCATAGAATAATACAAAATTCTAATAATACAAATAATACAATAATATTATAATTCTTATAATATATAACATTTATAGTTTGATAAAAATTATCATTGGGATTAATCGAGTTTTACAATCAGTTTATGAAATAGATCAGATTCGATGTTAAGTTAATATTTGTGGAACGCTATATGTTATTGATATTCAACAAACTTGTTGCTTCAGAAATATCAACCAAACTGTAAATAATGAATATAAGAAGATGATAGTAATGGTCCTTATAAAGTAATTACAGGCATTAGATAGTTGTCATCTGTTATTATTATTAAAATTTTGTTAATATTAAAAGATCATTGAGAAATGTAAATTAAATAAAATCACCCCAAACTATAGAATTTGTATTCTTAATTCGCTAATTCATCTGCATCATTTTAAAGATCCAATAATTACTTTTACTACCAATCTTTATCATTTATTGCAAAAGTTTATTTAATTAGATGAAAAATTCGAAGAACTTTATTTATAAACAAGTGAAAAGAAGAAAAATATTGCATTATTATAATCTTTTTATTATACAGGTTGGTGGCAGTATGATCCAAGGACAAGTTTAGAATTAGAAACGGCTTACAAACAAGGAAAACGCTCGTGTGAACTTCTTATTGCTGGTTTCTTGTATATAGCTGATTTTGGTTCAATGTTACAGCTGCGGCGTAACGATCACTCTAGGAGAAGACATATTAAACGAGATCTTTATAATGTACCAAAGAAAGGCGTTGCAGGTTTAAGATTAAACAATGCGCCACTGCGAGAACAAGAAGATCAGCAACAGCAACAGCAACATATAACTAGAGAAATTCGAGGATCCGAGAGATCTGGAAGTCCGTCAAGTGATAATATAGGTATAATTAAACAAATATTTTTACAATTTTAGCCCAAAAAATTAACTTGAAATTAACGAAATGTATAAACTACCATGTTATGTAAAAATTACTTTAACAATAATATTTCTATATGAATAAATTATTAAAGTAATAAAAAGTATTGATAAACATTTGAATTTTTAAATGTATACATACATATATATATATATATATATATATATATATATATATATATATATATATATATATCTGTGTAATTATGAATATATAATTATGAATCCTTATTCTTGTAAAGAAATATTTAAAAAATATATTGTTTGTTTTTTTAAATATTAGGCGATGGAACTAATACTCCAATACCACCTAGTAATACACCTCAAACGCCAGCAGAAGGTACAGCGAGTGGAGACGCGACACCCTCAGCTGCTACAAGACTACTGGATCATCAAAGATCTGATTCATTACATCAAGTTTTGGAACAAATGCGTTCTTTAGTATCGAGGGAAAATTTTTCATCAAATAATCAACAAGATGCGCAGGATATCATCGATGATGGCTCGTTTGCCGACCAATCTCTATTACCATGGCTACAGCAAACACCAACTAACACATATTTATCGGATGATGAGCATATGTGAGAATTTTAGCATGTAATTTATCTAATGCATAATAGTAACTAAGTCAAAAACAAGATGAATATCAAATTGAAAAATGAAAAAAAATAGATAATCATTACTGGTATTGTAATTATAAATTTCAATCTTTATTATATATTTTTTTAATGATTATTATTTCATGATGTACATTTTTTACAAAGTAAAGCTATTTCAGCAGTGCTTTATTATTATAATAATTTTATTTATTGTATTTTTGGTAAATTATTTTTTTAAATTATGTTTATAAGTAACTGAAGAACGCATAATTTAATAAGGAAATAATTAAGAAATTTATGCTTGGATAGAATTCCAATAAGAGCTTAAATAGGACACATTGGAAGAAAAAAAGTGTATTGTAATAAATTTATTTAATATTTATTTTTAATAAATTAATTAAATTGTTTAAATATTCATTTGAAATTTGGCGTAACAATATCACTAATTAACTAAAAAAGAGTTTTGATTTTCAATTGAAATAAAACACTTATTATTAAATTTGTCATAGTTGGAGAGTATAGATAAAATTTATATTGCTCTCTTAAAATAAATATTTTTAAGCTGAACTATTTTTTTTTTTTTTAATAAATATTTTCCATGCGATTTAAGAGAATCTCATTATTTTATAACTTTATAAAAATAGCCTTTTTACAAAAATCAAATTATAACTTTACAAATGAATACAATAATATGCATTATGAATACCTTCGGTTATCGTCAGGATAGTAAATTTCTTCTTTTGATAATTTATTGTGGATATTATATTTTACGAGTTCGGTATCCATTTTTGAAATAGCCTGGTTTTATTATATTGGTAAAAAAAAAAAAATATTTTGAAAGCTGTTTATAATTTAAATTAAAAGTATTCTTTCATATTATGACTAATCATAGTAATTTTATTTAAAAACTTATGTCTAATAAAATTTACATTTCACACTACATAATTCATATCTATCGTAATTATTTAGGTAATTAACCTTGGGTTTCATTGCGATTAAAGTAAAGGTTTCTTCAAAAATTTATACGAACTCGTATTATATATTGATAGTCTGATATATTGACTTATAATATATCATGTAGTGTTAGGATTTATATTTAAATAGAGATTCGACATATTCATGTCTCAAATTATTGACAAATAAGAGTGACATATTTATTTTAATACACAAAAATTTAATATTTATTAACTTTTTAAGCATATACTCAACAAAATAATATGTAAAAATTTGTGAATTAATTTTTTTTATTATTTATTTAAAACAAAAGTTATAGAAAACTATTTTCTTAATGATAAATACAGTAGCATAATAGTAAAAATAAATGTAGTGAATGTATTCTCATAAAATTTTCTATTTTCAATAATAACTGTTAAGATTAGCTGTATCAAAATAAGTTTTATTTGAAATGATCATTCTAAATGTTGCATTTTATATAATAATAATTATTTTATGTATATTATTTATAACTGTTTAAGAAATGAGGTATCGATAAAATAGCTTTTTCTATACAATTTAATTTAATGTCTTTATTTCGTAATTGAATGAACTTTCCATTACAAGAAACTTCTTGTATTCAAGAAATCTCTTGAATATGTTCTTCGCGAACCTTACAGTATTGCGCAATTTTTCACTTTTATAGTAAATAAACACGTACTCGTGCATGTAAATTAATCTGCGATCCAAATTATCATTTCATTTTTATAAAGAAACAAAAAAAAAAAATAATACATAAAATAATTAATAGTACAATTATTTCTAATATATCATATATTATATTCAATATTAGTGATCCGTATTTTAAGAATTTAATGCTAGTATTTTGTATATATATTTTTGAAATGTTAAAATATTAAAAAAACGCGTATATTATTGTAATGCATAATTTTTCATTAAAAATAGCTTTTAAAATATTGTTCAAAAGTATAATTTGTTTTCTAAATACACTTTTACATTTTTATTTATAACATTTATATTATTTATTGTTATTAAAGAATCTTTTTCGTCTTATATTACACATTGTTGAAAATGTAAAGAAAAAACTTTGTAAGGAATTTTTTTAACGCTTATTCAAGTAACGCAATTAATTTTATAAGTATATAGTACTGTAAATAATACTACTTTATATTTTACAGAATTTAATAAAAAAAAAAATATATATATATATATATATATATATATATAAATATATATAATAATGACAAGATATAGTTATAATATAGTTACTTGACTTTGATCTTTTAAAATCTGTTGTTTTTTTTTTTAAAATTTTGTTTTTTTTTTTTTTTTTTTTTTTTTTTTAATTACAAAATCAGTTAAGTATTATACGTAAAAATAATAATGATTACGGTTAGCGCTTATCGCATACCATAGTAATTGTTTGGGAAATAAATGAATAATTTTCTGTAAAAAAAAGTATTTGATTTATGAAAGACGAATGAATATTGTATTCTAAATTATCACGTAGAACATTTTAATGTTCAATAAAAGCGCACATTTGTATTGTCAGTGCGATCGGGCTTTAAGCTCTGTTATTTAAGGTCGGAAAATATAAAAGTGATCGAAGCGACATTGATTATACTCTAATGATTAATGCTGCCAATTATGTAATAGGTTCTAGCATTTTTATACATAGAATGGTTTTTAAATTTGAGAAAGTTGTTCTAATGTATATAAAAATAAATATCGCCTTATTTTTTAACAAAGAAAAAGAACAATCTTTTCATTACTTACCTTCTCAAAAAATAAAAAAAAAAAAGAACTCGAACTAAATATTACTTTAATTAAGAATGTAGTTACTATACTTTTGCTCTTAGCCTTTTGAAATTAATGTCAATTTTAATTTGATTTCATATTATTTTCTTAAGAATTACAGATAACTTATAATTAATCTATGCAACTGCGATGCTCTATGCTTCTTTGAAAAATATATCTATGATAAAATGTACTACACACTACAATTAATTAGCTGTACTACAATAAATGAACTAACAAGTAGATAATCGAATGAATTTAAATACTTTTAAAAAGTAATGAGTTAATTATGTCATTAAAATTAAATCTTCGATACAGTTGTAGCAGATGACGAATTGAAGGTCGGAATATTTTTTATATCACCTCTAGTCTTAAAGCTATGTCGATGCAAAGTGAAAGGTAAATGTTTTTAAAGAAGTAATTAATTGTTCTTAAATTATTGTACGCGAGAAAGAAGAAAAATTAAGAGAAAGTGGGAGGAAGTAATATAGAGGATTGGTATATTCAATATCGATGGGAATTCAATGTAAAACATCGGAATTAATTTAAGTTGAATAAATAATATTTATTTCTATTTTCGATTTTATAATTATTACAGATCATTAATAAATTCGTATTATATTATGAATTAATTATGAATTAATTATAAATTAATTATAAAAAATCGGATTATCCGTATAATTTGGCTTGAATAAAATTATTAATAATCGTTAAATTAAAGATTTCGTATGTACGGAAAATGAAGTCAATATACAATTCTATACTACGTTTTTCCCTTACAACTCGCATGTTTATTCATTCGTTCCCCACACCGTTTAATATTCACTTACACGCTTATTTGCCTCAAATACTATTTTTATTATCACGTGCTGGTTGCTCCAGCTATTTCTGACTCTAACCTAACCTCATAATTGCAGTAATACATTTAAATTGTACATACGATTGCTGAGACATGCGCGCTACGTCTCTTCCCGCTTAAATTCTTTTTTTCCTTTTTAATTCGTATTTGGTCCGAAGTAGCCGGCGTTAGTTTAAAAACGTGGTTTTGAATATGTTTGGAAAATAGCAAATTGTGATTAATAATAAAATATGAAGCGATAATCGTAAACTGTAATTTTAATATTATATTATTTCATACATATTTTGTTAATTTCGTTGTAATTGTCATTTATTTCATACGGAGTTTGCCGTAGTGTGATGATGTAGGGTTACAGGTGCTTAATAAATTGTGATAAGTTTTGTGATCGAGATATTTGCCGTCATATGCATGAAAAATATAATGTTATTTCATTAATTCGAGAAAGATTAGAACTACTTTTATTGTATTATTACTTTTTATTGTATTTTGACGCTTGATATTGTTTACTTATTAATGTAATGTGTAAATTAAAAATTTTCAATTGTATAAAAGAGAATTTTGTGCAGATTATTGTCAAATGCCATTTATAATTGGTTTTTAATAGTTTAAATCTTTAAATAAAGGTAATTCCATGTGAAATATTTTCATTATTTTTTATACTCAAATAGATATAAGAAATTATTTTTTAAATAAGCCAATTGAAATTATTGCTTGCACTTTGATTATCAGTATTTTTTAATTTTAGAATTAAAATTCTATCCGACTAATTGTAAGCTTATATTTAAATATAATTGCGATACAACTATATTGCCTACAAGCCTGAGTATGCGCAGCACAACAACCTTATATAAATTATATATATATATATATATATATATATATATATATATGCATGTGTGTGTGCATATCAAAATTACTTTCATTATATTTATACATACAGTAGCTTTTGTTCTATAATGTGAATAATGACACAATGAATATGATAAATACACCTATTGAAAATGTATCAAGATTAGTACTAATTTGTCGTCTCTGTGGCAATGCTAGTAATAAATATATAAATATTTTTGGAGAAGATGGTATAAAAAATTCTATTAATAAAAAGATTTTGACGCATCTAAAAATTGAGGTAAAAAAAAAAAAAAAGAAATTGATCTATTGTGTTGATTGATAAAATAATTATAAAATCAAATTTATTGTATTTTTTATTCGATATAATATAGATTTCAAATTCAGACTTATTACCAAAGATAATATGTGATAAATGCTTTCGTAAGCTGGATGATTTTGATAATTTGTTTTTAACAAGTACCAAGGTACAATCAATTCTGAAGAATGCTATAAATGAATCTTTATTTAAAATTAAAATTAAAATTGGATTACCTGGAAGTGAAGCTTATAATGGTAGCACTAATTTTAATAGAAATGAGGATGAAATTCATTCGCTTGATGAAGAGAAACAAGATACAACAACCCAAGAATGTTTTCTTTATAAAAAAAAGTCATTTTCTTTAAATGATAAAAATGAAGATGATGATAAAGAAAGAATTGCAGAATTGCCTATGACTGGCAATGATGAATATATAATTGAAAATAGTCATGAAGATTATAATAGGATTTCTAAATATCAAGATCAAAATCCAATGGATTTAAAACAAGAAAATATAGAGATTAACGTTGTCAAATTTATCCAAGAAAATTATCAAAATACTCTAAATTCAAGTTGTAATGATGTCAGTATAACAAAAAATTCTTCTAAATCAATTAGCTGCAATGATGGCAATGCTAAATTGCTTCAGAACTGTAACTACGATGATGCCAAAACAATGGATTTAATTGCAGCCCATACAAAAATTTGGATGGATAATTATGATGAAATTCCTGCATGGGAATTTGAAAATAACGTTACAAATGTGCCAATACATTATCCTTGTATATCATGTACTGATATATTTATATATGCAAAAGAATTAATAAAACATTACAAAGAGCAACATAATTGTTCAACACCGACTTTTAAATGCAGCATATGTGGGAGAATGTACAAAATTTTGAAAAATTTTTATTCACATTATGAAAAACATTATACCATAAATAAACATGCGTAAGTTAGAGTCAAATTCATAATACAGTCTTCTTAATACTTAATCGTTTTAATTAATTATTCACACAGCTGCGAGATATGTGGAAAAACGTTTACGCGAAATTGGACATTACGAATTCATGCATCCGTTCATTCGGATGCTAAACCTTTTAATTGCAACGAATGCAGTAAAACGTTCAAAAATTTATGTTCTCTTAAAAATCATAAAAAATCTCATCTTCCCGATGAATGCAAATTGATATATACCTGTGCCTATTGTGATAAAAGGTGATTAACTATATCAATAGTCTAGACATATTGAATTTACGCACCGCATTAATTTTATTTGTGCCTAAAAGTGTTTATGTATTATTTATTTATTTATTTTTTGTTTTTAATAAAAATTATTGAATTATAATTATTCTGAATTTTTTTCAGTTTCAAGTCTAAATTTATCTTGAAGTCACATCAGAGAATTCACACAGGACAAAAAGATTACAATTGTGATATTTGTAGTAAATCGTTTGCCTGTAAAGGCTCGTTATTATGTCATATTGAAATTCATAAGAATAATAAAGAAATCAAATGCCCTATATGCTATAAGATTATTAGAACTGAAAGATTATTAAGTATGTATTTTTGAAAGTATGTTACAATGTTATATGAATGTTTAATATGAATAAAAGATCAAAACTAAGTTCTTTCTTTTTCTTAAAAATCTAAGAAAGACATTTAGCATTCCATATGTTGAAGAAACCGTCAAAGTGTGAATATTGTGGAAAAGAATATCGTTATTCGACTCAATTAAAAGAACACATAAGACTTCATACAGGAGAGTTACCTTACGAATGTGAATATTGCCAAAAGCGCTTTCGATTAAATAGTACTTTAATAGTAAGTCACTGCATATTTATAATACATCCGATGATCATGCCTGGTTAAAAAAAAAATTGTATTTGTTTATAGATTCATCGACGACAGCATACCGGGGTGAAACCTTACAAATGTAAAGTATGCGATCATTCGTTTACAAATTGGCCTAATTATAATAAGCACATGAAACGAAAACATTACAATACTATTATTAAGGAAAATAACGACGAATTAATTTTACTGAAAATGTAAATAACCGTACACAAAATAACATAAATCTCTATCATAATATAGAAAATATATTTATTTTATATATTAAAAACTATTTTTATGAATTGGACCAAGTGAAAAGTACAAGATTTTATACAATGATGTATCATTTATTAAAATATATAATTTTTTATTTACATTGTCTTGATTTTGATTTGCATATCATAATTAACAAAACTTAAAGCAATGGAAAATGCCTATAAAAAGTCATCCTTATATAATATACATTGTTATCGACGAATAAAAAACAAATGTATTAATTCTTTGCTTTGATAAAAACAATTTCGTATATTAAAATCACTTATAGATAAGAGAAATGTACAATCATACAAACATTTATGATTAAGAATCCAAACATATAATTCGACTAGTTCAATCTTATAAGTAATACGATAATCAAAAAATCCATTTTTTACTATGCATTGTTACAAAAAGGAACATTTTAACACAATTTTCTTATATAGTAATTAAGATTTAAAGGTAATTTACGTACATATTATGTCTCTTACATTTTATATATTATGTTAATAATAATAATAATAGTAATTGAAATGTAATATCACAGTAAATGTACCCTAACTTTATTACTGCCGCAGTAATATCTTCTTCACTGATATAAATTTGAATTTTTTTTTTTTTTTTTATGATATTAATGAAGAAATTTTTATTGTCAGAATTTTGCTGGATTATTTACTATAACAATAATATTAACAGTGACAACAGTAACGAAAACAAAGTATATAGATATTGCGGATGAAAATTAAAGTTCAAATCGATTATCCATTAAAGTATACGAAATTTTAAATTAATTTTAAAATAGTTGCAGCCGAACGCAAACAAGACGTAAACAATTTCACAATTCTATAGTACATTACAGTTTTATTGTAATCGAGCATTTCTCACAGAGCGATTAACTTTCTTACTAACTTTGAGCTTTAAATTATGCATCTTGTTTGTAATTAAAATGAAAATAAAATCATTTCCGAAATCACTTGTACTATCTCAACGGTAGTCGCTTACACGTTGCTAGCGTTATTTTTTTTTACATTTTGCTTCTGTGTCGGAGGAATCAAATCAACTTCTCTCTTGTATTTACATATCACAGCATACATATCTCCTCCCAATCGCTTAGCAAACCAACGATTTTTCACCACAGCCAGCTTTAGCGATTCGCATTTCATTTTGGCGTAAAGATTCGTATGCAACGCTCGGCCCATACCTTCGATGACTATGAGATCGACATTTTGTTTAATCATAGCCAGACAAAGATCCAAGTTCAGTCGGCTGGAAGAGGATTAGAAATCTATTTAAGACCTTTGGACTTTTATACATTGATAAGAATTTATAAAAGGTGTTTTAAGTTACAAAATAATTTTGAAAAATCATAGCCGCTCTCCACCATACCAAAGAGCTTGTGAATCTATTACACTACACCTATCTGCATGTCAGATAAATTATTATGGAAACAAAACAAAAACAAAAACTAAATATTCACCTCAAATCTAAACATGGTCCAGCTTGTGCAGTTTCCATTGCCATCAATCGGTCTTCGTTGAGGGCGTATTTTATAACGTCGCAAATCATAGCTGCATCTCTTAAAATGACCACAAGCTCGGGGTATGTGACGTCGTTTAGGGCTGGCATAGAGTTGGCGCATAAGATGACTTTAGTGCCTCTTTGCAGTAAGTCCCTGACGAAGGGCAGTATACCGAGAATAATGTCGACGCCGCTATTATCAACGAATACCGCAGCGCACTTATGTGGTGGCGCCTCGTGTAGTCTCTTAATCCAATTGTCTAAGTTATCTTTTAGCCAAGGTCTTTCTATATACCAAAAGGTGTATTATTCATTAAAAAGTTCTTAATCATAAAAATTCCTGTTTAAGAGCTTACAGGGCTCTATTTACAATTGTATAATTAATTATCATACGTTAACATTTCATTAAATCAACTGCTTTACGATATCACAAAATATTTTAATATTTTATAATCATACATTTATTGAACACTGACGTCGATTACTTCGGTAAAATATTATTACGGTAAAAGCACTGCTTTTATTCAATTTACAGTAAAAATATATTATCTATGATTTGTAGTAAATTCATAGTAATGATAAATAAATTTATAAAATTGAATAAGTTATCGAGCTAAACGTTTATAATTTAATACTAATATTTATTCAAATATTAAAATATTGGTAAAAAGAATTCATTCTTATAATTAAATATATATATATATGTATATATATGTTATAATTAAAAATACCTGGTATTTTTTTTTGTGCATCTTCAAAGGAAAAGTTATTTTGTTCCAATAATGTCGCGATTTCTTGTGCTCCCCAGTCAAAGATATTCCCAATTAATACTCCTCTAATAAGTTCTTCCAATTTTGTGGAACCTTCTAAACTGTCAATTAAGTCAAGTCTACTTTCCAAGCATTTTAGTGCCCGCTCATTTTCCTGCCTTTTTTGCTAAAAAAAAAAGTAATTATTAATGAGATATAATTTTATATAAGAAAATAAAGACTTGGATTACTTGAAATATTTACATGGAAATATGGATCTGGAAAATCAAACTCCTTCATACAGTGCTCGATAGTATCCAAAAGTGTTCGGACCGTTAATGTACCATAAGCACTATAAAACATTTACATATTAAATAATTGTTTCTATTTAACATTAATTGATTACTAACTTCAATTAATTGACTGATCAATTTCACTTACAATGGTTGCTTATGAAGATAATGCAATCGATTAATGTATTTTTCTTTTAATTTCTTTGCCCTATCTTTTGCAGTTGGACTTTCCGGTTGACTTTCAATTGCTCTCATAATAACTTTATCCATTGACTCTTCAAAACACCCAAGCCAGTAGTCCCTGTACATTTAATAATTTAAATTTCATCTGACAAAGATATTTTATTATTTACTTCAAATGTATACCTGGCTTCCTTATCTTGAGCAAGATCGGTTGTATCAGGATTATAAGTAGCTGGATCGACTAATAATGGACAAAATCCTACAACATTTTCTGCTTGATCAATTTCTAGCTGATCAATTGGAATACCCAATTGATCAGATGTTGTTTCACTTTTAAAACCCGATGATCCAGCATAGTTCTCTAACCAACTACATTTATCAGATTCAGGTTGAGCTCCGTACAAAAATGCACCAATCGCGCCCAAATAACCTTCGTGTCTTAGAAAAAGTGGCTTCACTTGATCCTAGAATAATAGCACATAGAGAGAAATTTACTTATAAAAATATGTACACTAAATGGATAAATTACTCACTCTTGTCCAATATTTTATTGCATATGAGATAGTGTGCATTGATAAGGGATGGTTGCGTAGGAAGTACCCCCCAAAGTATATTTTATTCATGTTATGTTTAGATGCGTACAGACTAGCTATTTGTCCAATATCATTACTGATTAAAAATAGAAGACTTCTCGCTATGTCTGCTTCAGAAAAGTTTTTCACACCTAAAATAGTATTCAAATCATATCAGTATAATATTATATAATATTAAATTACAAAAGAAATATGTGTAGGTTGCTTGTATATGTATTAAGTTATACCTTGTTTGCCTTCTTTATAACCCATAGCTTTCCCAAAAGATGAAGCGATCAAGTCACCAGCTAGACCTTGCGACGAATAGTCCCCGCCATATATATCCTTAACTAACATATCTACATTACGATGATCTCCGGTTTCAGCGAGTTGTAATAATTCATCGAAATCCTGACAATAATATAAGATATTAAACCAAATTTATACAAGTACTTACTAATTTCTTTTGTCTTTTAATAACAGTAACCTTAGCATAAGTGAGCAGTGAGCCTAAACCCCAAAATGTGCCACCACCTGTAGCGGTGCCACCGACTCTTTCGAATTCTTGTTCAGATTCAACCTAACAAATATAAACAAATTGGATGAAAAATTAAACAATAGCATTTAAGATTGTAACAAACATACTTTAAGTATGCTGACTCCACTGCCAATGTTGACTAACAAATAGGGAAATATATTGGGTCCAGCCTTTTGAAATTTATATTCAGGATTAGCATGTCTCGAAAATTCAAAAGCTTCACCAGATATATTTTTCAATAAAAAATTGCAACCTTTTATAAGACAGCAAATTTCATCTTTCTTATCGACTCTGTAAACAAAATTTCTTTTATAAACAAATGCTACGCACATAATTAAACTGAAAATTGGTTAAAATCATAAATTAATTAAAATGCAATTTAATGAAATCACTAATTATAGATCATTCTTACATTTTACCTTTAGACTAAATTATATTTTTTAGGAATAGGTTTGACAAAAAATAAAAACCTACTGAGTTCCTAATTTATCCTGAAGCAATTTAGTGTATTTGTGAGCTCCACCACCTGTAACTTGAATACTTGTTCCCTGAAACCTTTCAACATTAACTAAATTCGCTTTAACAAAGTCAAGGCAACTTTCTATATGACATGTTTCAAATTTAACAAAATGAAGTCTATTGCCTTCAAAAGTTTGATAAGCGCTTTCGCTACAATTATCCACTGTCATTGTTGTTTCTTCTGCATCGTGATAAAGTGCCTTACGATATCTTACTGTGGAATAATAGGCAATTTTCGTCAACGATAAGCCTAGGTAAAAAGAAATGTAATACATTATTTAACGATACTGTGACAAAAAAAAAATATATATTCCATCCTTACAATTATTAAATAATTACATTAAATTATTATTAATTAAACAACAACAGCAGCAACAACAACAAAAAATAATTTTGGGTTAAAAATAATTTTTTAATTTACTTTTATAAATTCATTGTTTGTGGTATGTGCCTCTTAACCTTAAAATAAATGTAAATAAGCGGATTTCTTTATAAATAAAATTGTTAATAAAATTTGCATAGCAAGCATTAAAGATTGTAACATGTAGCAAGGAAATAGCAATAAAATTAGCTTACCAATGTCAATTGCAAATTTTCGAGCATTTTTCAAATTTGCGAAAATTTCTATCGCAGCTGGTAATTTAATACTCTGCGGATGAAAAGTCTCATTGCTTGTATCAGCCATTTCTCTCTATTTAAAAAAATACTTCTCTACTTTTTCAACTTTTGTTTCCAGCGCTATTGCTTCTTGCTGACTCGTTGATATCGCGCTTCGATTGTTTTATAAATTTATCGCTAAACTAAATAGTTCATATCAACTAGCGCTCAATTCAGAAAAAAAACTATCCATACGAAATTTAAAAGTGCTACCTTACACATTTTTCTTTTATGTCCTCTGAAGAACGGCGGTGAACGTACTCGCTCATTTGCACGAGAGATCTAAATTCATAATTGCAAGCTACAACTGCAACTCATCTTATCATTAGATAGTTCGTGATCAGTATAAATAAACTTACAAGAAAGCTAACCTTATTTCATTGTATTAAAGTTTTATTATGTAGCAGGTTTGTCGAGGATAATTTTTTCTTTAAATACCCTATGTATTTATCTATTTAATGAATTTAATCTGTTGATTGTAATGCTTATCTTTATGATTTTTACTGGCAAATACATACGTTCGTTATATATTTTTCTTCTTGTTAATTTCAAGTTAAATCTTGATTGACTTGAGTATAAGCTAGTAAGCATATCATTATCTTTCAAATTATTGGAATAAAAATTTTTTATCCAATTTAGCATCGATGATCGCACCTTATATCGACCAATTTACACAGACTTTTCAATCTTTGTTGCATGAAGAATGCACATCAATAACAAAGTAAGAAAGCGTGGACGTTATTTCCTCTTGCGTACAATCAAAATTAATAGTAATAAAAAAGTACTCTTTTCTTTTTCTTTTTCTTTTTCTTTCTCTTTACAATATTTCGTTGCACTTTCTCTTTACATTAATGAGACATCCTGTTACGACACAGACGCGCACAAGAAAGAACAAATATAATGCTTAATTATTATCCACCGGTCATGCTTATTAAGTCAATAAAAAATTTAACCAAATTCGCCATTTTGACTTGTAAATCATAAGAAAAAGCAAATGCCTTGTACAAAATCAAATAACTAGAGCCGAATTTAAGATTATTCTGCGCAAGCTCGTCGTGCTCGTCTTCCTATAATACATCTTTACTTATAGCCTCTATTGTTTTCTTTCACACTTAATCGTGATTTTGATAAAAATTTGGTAAAAATTATCGTTAAAGTAAAACATTAAAGTAAAAAAAATTAACGTTTTTTTTTTTTTTTTTTTTTTTTTTTTTTTTTTTTTTTTTTTTTTTTTAAACCAATGAACGTTAATGTTGTGTTTAGAACATTCGAATAATAAAGGTTTTTTAATTCTCTTTATTCAAATGTGTGCCTATCATTATATGAAATTAATCTGACGTACCGAATGAATTTGTACCATGGCAGTTACAATTAAGTAATTTTATGTTTATAATGTAAGAAACAATAAAATCGTCGTATCAAATATTTCATACGATTTTAGGTAATAATTATACATTATTTCATTTTATTATTTAGTTTATAGATTTAGAAAAATTACTTTTAGTAAAAGTTTTACTTTAGAAATGAAACGATTAAAATTTCGCACATTTCAAAAATACATCCTTACACATAAGATAAGTTTTTACACATTTAATTTCACCAATTGGATTAATAAAAAAGTTGATTTTTTTTTGTATATGCTAATGATAGGTCTTTGCATTAAATATTTATTACACGTGTAAATATATAGAAAAAAACTACATTATTAATATTGGCAGTAACAATTTCATAAAATTTCCACAGTAAAAATAAATAACATTTATCAGTGTAAATAATGATAATAAAAGACTCGTAAATAATGATATTTATATGATAAATGGAGTAAAATAGTAGCAATTACATGATTTTTACAATGATTATTTTTGTAAAGTAAATTGAAAAAAAAGCATACGATCGAATATTTCTTGAGTTACAAGCTTTTTATAAAAGTATTTTGTATTATAATAAAGCACCGATACAAATTGAAATATTTCTGCAAAAATGTCAATTTCACTTACTAATTGGCTGTATTATCAATTAATTAAAATATTTTTTTTTATTTTATACATTTTCATTATACAATATAAAAGTCTTGTTAGCGTTTATAGCACCTTCTAATATAAATATAAGAAAAGTAATTATTTCAAATATTTGAAATTTTTAAACCCCAACAAAAATTACTCATTAAAAATCTTGGAAATAAAACAAAATCATAGTAAATAATGTTTCATTACGTTTATTAACCAAACAATCTTGCATTCACGAGAAATATTTTTCAAAATTAAATATTGCATTGCTTTGCATCGACATAAAAACTTAATAGTGGTAAATTATTTTTAAGTCATATTTAATACTTTTATTACAAAATGCATAATATTTTAATAATAAATTATCTATAACGTTATTTTTAGTTATAAATAGAATCGATAAAATTGTTAAGCACGTAAAACAAATTGATTTAATCGTATTCGAGTAAAGCAGAAATTAGTAAGAAACATTGTATAAAAATTCTCGTTTCTATAATAAATGTAAGACTGTTGAATAGAGAATAAAACTTTTAGAATTTATCTAACTTTGTTCTAGTAGATCCAATATCTTATTTAAATTGAACACGTAATTATTTAATCTACAAACATGTTTTTGAAATACAGTTTCTCACAACAATCATTTATCATAATTTCAATAAATAATTAACAACTGTTTGTACAGCTACTTTCTGATAAAAACATGACCGATATATCGCAGTTTGTTGCTGCGAAAACGTATACGCTTATTATTCCAATAATAAATGTCATTGTATTCGTATTCACATATTTACAAATCAGATAGAAATTACAAAGATACATAATATCTAAAATGTTAATAAATAAACTTATATTAAGTGAAAATGAAAAAAATTCACTATTAACGATAAATTCACCAATTTTGTCAAATCGTTTGTTCAAAGCAAATTTCACATTAAACAATATAGAATATTACTGATGGAATTGCATGGGGATAATAAAAAGAAATCATATATTAAAAACTTTTATAATATTTGGTAGCATAGATATAAATATAATACAAATAAATACATTCGACGTACATTTCTAATTTTCATTAATTTTACCGATTCAGAAATGATTTATTTAATAATTAAGCCTATACAATTATATTTAATAAGACTCACGTTGAATGATAGAATTTTTTTTGGTAAGTATATATTACCTATCAAGTGAATTTTGTAATTTTTATTTTAAAATATTATTTTGTTATCGCTTATTTTTACCGATTAATTTCAAAAACTTGTCTTATAGTTAACCATATTCATTTGTAAAATTTGTTTATAAAAATTGATGGAAAATATTTCCAAATAGATTTATCAGTGATACACTTTTATTTTGTTAATTTATTATAAAATTTTTTTAAGTGCGATCTTTTTTTACCGATTAGAGAAAAACTATTCTAAACATCGTCTAACCAATAGAGTTTAAAAATAAAATCAAAATAATTAGTCCATTAAAATAGATAGCGATATAGCGCTTTATTTATATTTATATATATACATACATACATACATATATATATATATATATATATATATATATATATATATATATATATATATTTGATTCATTAAATTTATTGTTACTATCATTTTGTTTGAGAGTTACATGATAAAAATGAACTTACGATTATTATGATCAGGATTTTGAAGACGATAAGCCAATTTTAAAATTCGACGAGCATCAGCTATAACAATATTATTACGTGTGTAAAAAATTTATTTGATCGAATAGTATTATTAAGCAATAATAATGAATCAATTTAGTAAAAAAAGATATATATATATATATATATATATATATATATATATATGAGGGTAATTGTGAAGTATAAAATATATTTAAATGAATGATTAATAAATTCTCATCGATTACACTTACACAATATTTTATACATTATTGATTATCTGTTTATATATAATTATTTATATTATTATTACTGCATTGACTCATGTGCAATTTCAATAATCATCTTAATATCCTTTAATCATTTGCTTAATTTTGACTGTATAGTCTTAGTTATTAATCGCTTCTTGTTCACTACAATATTTTGTAGTTGTTTGGCACATTTTCATCGGACCTTTCATTAATTACAGCAAAAATATTTCCTACAATCATAGGTGCCTATGGAAAATTAAACATTGGCTTGTAAAATAAAATGACAAATTAAGAATCAAAATGACTGCAACTTTTTATTATTACCTATCGAAATATATAACGTCTCTTTTATACTTTAGCTCTTTGTCTCAATATGTTGTCAACATTATAGTGGAGCAAAAATTCATATTACCATAGTTAAAGGTTGTGTATCTGTACAAGAGAAGATCACTTTTCCACGCTAATTTACCACTTGATTTATGTGTGCGCAATCCATGTGTACAGACAATTGATTACAATGAAACCCCGCTAACGCGAGTATTTACACAGTAACGCAACTCGTTAAAATGATCATAGAGACTCTTGCGAGATCACCAAGTGTTTTACCCGATTACCTATAATCACTATTATATATTGGAACAGTCGACGATAGGAATTTTCCGTTCATTACAAGACGGTTGACTGATGATAACTTTAAATGCAATATATTTTAATCTCCGGAAATTCGAGGTCTTGGCTATTTTTTTTTTTTTTTTTTTTTTTTTTTTTTTTTTTTGACCTGTACGTGGATTTCCTGACCAAAATAAGTCCCATCTTTATATACGACACATTGATTTATATTTATATATTTATATTCCATCGCATTAATTTTGCATAGGACTACTAAGGCAAGCAAATAACGTAGAATACAGTTGAATCGGGCTTCGTCGCGAAATTTTAACATTGCATTGCATTACCGTATTTTCTACTTCTGCAAAATCATGATAAATAATAATAAACGACTCAAGGTGAATTTAAGCACAGTTTACATTAATGAAATAAATGTATACATTAAAAGCTTTCAATATGTCATTTTGACAGATAAACTTATAATTCAGAATTTATCACTAGTTGACCTGGCTTAATTTTACTCAAATCCATATATCAATATTTACTTACCAACAATCTCTTATAGCAGTAATATTTTGGAAATTTTTGCATAGCATTAAATCTAAAGTATTTTTATAAATGGTAAAAGAGCAATTTACATAAATAACATTGATTATATTTGAAAATGTTAAGCTGTTGCGTGTGCATTAGCTTTTTGTTTTGTTTCAAACTGATATTAACCTTTCGAGGCATATATATATATATATATATATATATATATATATATTTTTTTTTTTTTTCTTCTCAAAAGTAAGTGACACTTTTTTTTACAATTATTTACAATCATTTTATACTTAACATGTTTCTACTGATATTTTTCTTACGCTTAATTATGTCTAAAATAATGTACAAATCAAAAACAATTAATTCAATTTCAAAAGAACAAAAGAAAAATTGAAAAGTAAAAATGTTAGTGTTAATTGGTGCTATTAGTTAGTATGATGTATTGATGTATTACATAAAATAAATTTCTACAAAAAATATATTGGCGGTTTAACAGTTGAAAAATTAAAAATTTTATTAAAAAACAAAAAAAAAAAAAATAAAGAAAAATAAAAAATAAATCCAATTTATCTGTAAAAGTTGTATCGCAAATTTTACTTTTTTTTTAACCGCTGAAAATATTGTGTTTTTTTTTAAGATAGTGTATATACAAATTTATAACTTACATTTACAGAATGTAATTAACAATTAAATAATTTCTTTCTCTTAACAACTTATTCTTTTAGAATACAAATTTGATAGTAATATTCAGAAAAATATTAAATATATATATTTTTTGTTACTATATAGATAGAAGTAATATCTATAATTATGGGCTGAGCAATAATCCAAAGTAAGAAATAACATTATTTAGAGTGTAATTAGTCTAAAAAGTTAGAGAAATATAAATTATAGGATAATCAAGTTAGATAAGAAATTATGTTTATGTTGATGGCAATTTTAATTTATAAAAACATATGAACTACATAAGTATCTGCTCTATTTATTTTATCGGCATATTTTAATTTTACTATTGAATTTGACTTTGTATTTAAATTATCATGGTCTTAATGAAAAAGTTCATTCAAAATATAAAATGATATATGTGAAAACGATTTTCTCATTACACTAGTATTATATATAAATACTAGCTTTTTAAGTATGAAATATTAAAGGCGTTATTATGTCCCTTTATATAGTTTATCACTCCTACAAATTCGACAATTTCATTTCTTATTTCACTGTACAATACAGTTATGTTGTATATTCCTGATGTAAGTTGGTAATATTTATAACGTATTTACTTTTATTTCAAACAGATTCAACTGCCTACTTTTTTTCACGCTCTTCGTTGACGCTCTCTTTCTCGTGAAAGTTCAGAGGCATTTAATGGTGAATTTCGCCTACAATTAAATGCACACACGAGTCAGATTATTCATTAAAAAATGCCATTTAAAATGAAAATTACCAATTACCTTTCTCGATGTTTTTCCCGATCGCGATATCGATCCTTACTTCGTTCTCTGTGGGATCTTTCTCTACTTCGACTTCTATAATCTCTGGAACGACGAGTCCTTTCGCGGCTCTCCGATCGTCCATAGTTCTTCTCTCGATCACGCTCGCGATCTCTATCTTTACCTCTTTCTCTTTCTCGTTCTCTAATTCTATCCTTTCCTCTACTGTCACGGCCTTTCGGTCTATCCCTTCGATCCTCATTGGATCTGAAAAATTACGTTCAACGAACAATATTTAAAATATTTGTAAATTAAAATGAAATTGGCCAAAATATAGGGGAAAAAGAAAAATAAAAAAAAAAAAAAAAAAAGAATAAATAAATAAGAAAATTATTCTGAAAGACTTTCTTTAATGAATGCTTCATGATGTCAAATCCATTTAATAGTATTTGAATTTAGTAACGCGATTGTTGCCATACCACGTAGACGCACCTGGCACGCCAGTAACTCGTTCGTTCAGCCTCGCCCCATTGCACTTCACTATCTGGAATGTGTCGTGGCTGCTGAGTTCTTATTCCATCATCCTTTCTACTATTACTACTACTATATTTTCCTTGATTATTTAAAGTTATAGATGGTTTTGACCCTCTCAAATTTCCTGTATTATGTGGAAATTTTTCTGCCAATCTTTGCTCCAATTCCTTTTGAATAGGCACTGGTATTCTGGGGAACAATGTTGAAAACCATTCTAGTTTTGTTAAAAACTGTTTTAAAATGTCTCCCATTTTCATAATTTGACCACCACCTGCTTTCACATCCAATTCTTCTTCGTCCTCCAAGTAATCATCGTACCATGAAAATAAGTCTGGAGGTGGTTGAGTGTATCTTTCAAATAAGGACAAAAAATCAAAATTGTATGCAAATAAATTTGCGGTAGCAATTATATGTTTTTGAAACTTACCTAATATACATGAAGCCCAATGCTCGAATGTACGGGGAGTCGGGATGATTGATCAATCCGTTCAACTGTTTTCTTGTCAGTCTTAATGTGAAGAGTTTATAGAGCAGACAGTATGCCGTTGAAACAATACCTCCCGCACCAACGCCCCTGACCTGCATAAACCGCTAAATTTACACCCCCCCCAAGAGTCAATCAATCTCATTCACATTGCAGTCAGCGCTAAATTTGAGTGTATGCTTTTCTGCAATTGACAAAGACTATCTACTCTTGCTTAACTTTTTTTGCTCTCGTAACAACAATGTAAACTCATAATAATAATAGTACCAAAAAAAAAAAAAAAAAAAAAAAAAAAAAAAAAAAAAAAAAAAGAGAGAGAAAGAATTATTCCACGATACTTACCCCTCCACACATGCCAGTTTGACCAGCTGTTTTTCTACTGCCCTTTTCCCACGGCTCTAAATGCGAAACTTTGTAGTAAATTTCATCTATAACCTCGTGGTACGTCTTGAGCTCGTACAAGTTGACTTTGAAATAATGCGAAGATTGTATGTTTGTTAAGATTAGTGGATTGAGATTCATGGTACGCTCGTTCCCCCATAGAGGTAGAACATTGGATTTCTTTCCCTCTTTTTGGGCTGGTCTGCGCTCCTCTTCGCAGCCACTGGAGTTGTTCCATGGTGAACCTTAATCGCAAATAAGGAAAATCGGTTAACATCAAAGTGACATGATTATAATGCTCGAGTTTTCATTAAACGACAAACAAATGTTAATTTCCAACTAATAACGTCTCTAAACAATGCCTTAATAACTGTAGACCCGCAGTTTTGAGGTTAAGTTTTCAACGCTGCACTTCATTAGTTACAATCGACATCCAATATAAAAATTGTCCTCAACAATCTCTTGTGATACTCGAGAATGAACGTGCACTTACCGTCTGTAGCGTCCATCGGGATTTATAAAAGTCTCGCTCGTCTCGTACAAGCTATGGACAACAGTACTTCGTTGTCGCAGCTCCTCTTCCTGCTGCTCTCGAAGCCGTGTTGGAGGGTCTAGCAGAGGACCAGAGTCACCGCAGCCCTCGATACCGAATAAAAGCATTTAATGTTTACTACTTGCGAGTTCGCTTTCCCAGTCACCTCTTGGATGCTTTAACTCTATTATCTTATATTACGGATTTTACCTAGGCTGCATCCTCAACGCTCAATCTCATGCTTTACCTTATTTACTTTATCGCTATATTTGCATTCCGCACTCCTAATTAAAAACGTAACAATAAAAATAAAAAAGATTACTCACAATCCTTAGCTTAGCATCTCTGGTAATATCTAGAGGTCGTTTTACATCTCTTGTTCATTTCCAAAGTCCTGTGAATTCTACTTACGTTCCGTTCTGCTATTCCTCATTATTGTTCAATTAACACATACGCGATATGGCTAAGCCTGTATGTTTAATATTAAATTGAGCAAAAGATGCAAGCAATGCCAAAGCGCATAAGAGATATACGATTGTCAAATTTTATCGCTATGCTTATATCGATACGTCAGACATTAATTGATTATTTCTAAATATATGTTATTATTCATTAAGAATAGGTGCTGCATAATTAATAAGGGCATTGTCATTCGTCTGTGTACACGAGGGAGCGTACGTACGTGGGGAAAAATTATATTTGAATCGTAGCGATTAATTCTATAGAGGGCAGATACTCTATTGGTTGATTGCATCTGTAGTTTTAGTCTTGTTTTTTTTTGTTTGTTTTTTGTTTTGTTGTTTTTTTTTTGTTGTTCTTTTTGTTGTTGTTTTTTTTGTTGTTTTTGTTGTTTTTTTTTGTTGTTGTTGTTGTTTTTTTTTTACTCTACATCAAGGCATGAGTTTTATAATTGATTGTCCGAAAATGATACTATTTTAGTAGGAAAATTTTTGTAACCCCCCATTAATCTTGAAAATAAGCATTCGATATAGAACGTTGCACCAATTGTGAATTAATTGGAATTTTTTTTATCGGAAATATTTAACTAAGCTTATATGAATCTTATATAAAAAATAATTTTACAATATAAGTTAACGTATGCGTTCTTTATTATAGAGAATAATTTAACTTACTTAAATGCAATCAAACTAAACCAAACGTGAAATAATTACCGATCGATTGAAACGAAGATGCAAATTACAGGTAAAAAAATATCGTACTTTTTTTTTTATATTTCAAAAAAGATAAATTCTATACGTATATATAAGTCGAAATCAACGTATAAATGTTGAAGCTTATTCTGGCATTCGCTAGAAACATGCAATCGATGTTAATTTACGAGTATTTAAAAGCACTTTACGCTTGAAAGAGCTTTATTTTTATAAAAATTAAAAACATTATTAAATTAAGCATATATGCGTGCGTACGCTTTGTATATATTTAATATAATAATGTGTATATTACTACGTGCTTTAATAGCATTCTGTTTATTGTTTTATTTTATGAACCATTAATATGAAATAGATTTGACATTATAAATTAAAATGTTGAAAGCCTAACATGGTTTTTGCGGTTAGTGTATATTATATGTACATTAGAAGGTTTTGTAACGTTACTAATTGTTGCATTATTATTGTAAGTGATTTGATAAACGATCAATATCTATTTTTACAATTTATTAATAATGCAAGTGTGTCGGTAAACAATATCAAATTTCAAAATTTCAGTTTCATATTTCAAAATTCCGACAATCGTCTATATACATACGCTTTAATCAATTAAAAATTTTCTGCTTTTTAACTCACTAATTATAATAATTAAATCGATAATTTGTGCATGCATATTCATGCTCTAAAATAATTAAAATTATATCATTAAATTATCATTGTAACATTATATTTTATTTTATTATTTTAAAAATTTTGCAATAAAATTATTTAAAAACTGTTTAAAGCATTTCAATTATTATTATTATTTTTATTTAATTTATTTTAATGTAAAGCACATTTTTAGTGATATATGTTATAATATTAAGCAAAATATTAACGTAATTTTTTTTTCTTGACACATGATTTCTTAAATAATTTTGTATTTTAGTAATATTGACTAAATTACACAATCGATTTAACACTAATATTCTTTTTAATATTTACATATATGTGTATTTATTTATTTACCAAGATTTTGATTTTCCTGTTTGCAACAGAATCAGCAATTATTTATTTTTATTTTAAAATTATACAAATTTTAATCGTAAAGAAATAATTAAAAATGTTTCAAAACATACCTTCTTGATTTTTTTAACGTTAAGTGCATTAAATAAATAATTTTTATTATCAAAAAGTTATTAATGTTTTATATTAATATTATGCTTCTGTTACTTCATTTTTTTTTTTAATATATATATATGTATTATTTTTTTTTTTTTTTTTTATTAAATAACAGACAAATGTGTTGTTTTTTTATGGAATAAAATTTCAGAAATCTTATTACTCGGATTATTTTATTTAATACATTTCGTAAGAATTTAATAATCGTATAAAGGCTTGTATGAAAAAATTACTTTCACATGTTTTTTTATTATAAAAAATGTTGTCAAATGAGATTTATTGATAAAATATTATAGTTCATTATGACAATTATTAAATAAATTTAAACAAATTCTTCATTATACCAATATAATTTTAAATAAATAAATATATTGGATAAAAGTTACCATTACTATAAAAAGTTCTATAAATAAGAAGCGTTGAATGTTATTTTTAGTATTTATTATATTGTGCAACATTGCGCAAGAGTTATTTACTTTTTAAAATTTTTCGTTTATATGAATATTCAAATCACGACTTACGTTAAATTGTTTGTGCTTAACACCTGATTTAACTTCGGTAGATGAAACAGATTAAATATAAATATTTTTTTACATTGTACTATAATAGTGCTCTGTAGTTTATTGTATATAAATAAAAATATGTGATAATTATTTCGTTTTATTTTTACGCATTAAAATGTCAACAATTCCTTTATAACACTAAATTTGCCATCTAAGAAAAGGCAGTAACATGGATGTAATTGCCGCATAAATAATTCAAACCTAATTCAATTTTTGCCTCATTTTATATGTACATATGTAATCGTAAGTAAAATACTTTTATTAAGCGCGCACGCTTAAACATAACTTTACTTTGTACTTATTACGTAATATGAATGTGCATTGGATCAATCAAGTTCCATATCTATATGGCGTATAGTAAAAAGGTATATTTCGTCCCATTGCTTTTCTAACCTCTTGTAAAGTTATTTTAATTCGTAAATAAACAACATTAAACAAATATATATATATATATATATATATATACGAAGAGAATATTTAATGTTTTGAAAAAGGGAAAAGTAAATATGTCAAATGATATTTTACTGGTAAGTGTGGAACTTATTATTTTGCGATAAAATAATGTTCAAACTACACACTTATAAAGGGAAAGTGACAGCGTTTTTCTTCATCTTTATTAATTTCAGATATTATACGTGAAGACAGTAGAATTATTATTATTTTATATATTGTCATATGGTTATATTAAAGTTAAAATATTTCCTCATATTCTTTCTTTCTCTCTTTACATTTCTTGTAATTTGCACGTATATTATCATTCGTTAATTATAATTCGTTATTAAAATTTTGTAACATAACAAATGATGTTGCTTGTTTACAATAAAGTATAATATTTATATTACCAAAATTATTCGATAGAGTAAACCACCATGCACTTGTCAAAGAAGTTGCATTACTTTATTAGAGTTACTTTAGATTAAATGATGTATATTGTCCTTTGATTTATTGATTTTAAAATTTCTTTATATTTAGTGCACATATTAATTTACATTCATCCATAGATTCGTCAATCTATGCATTTCTAACATATAAATAAGTTATAATTAAAAAAAAAATTTTATTATTAAAATAAGCCAGTTATATGATAATACAAATTAACCAGAAGAAATAGTATTGTAATAATAAGCCGACATCAATAAATAAATATATAAGCTCCCAACAATGTAGTATAAAAGTACATCTGATTAATTGTATAATTCATAATATTAATAAGCTGCAATTAAAAAATAATTCAATATGCTGGATTGCTTGATTACTTATGTTCATCCAATTAACTTTGACTTCGGCTGCACTTCAATGATTCTACAGTATTCTTGAACGCTTTCAATGATTTCAGAAAATGCAGTCCAACTCCCGGCGAAATTACAATCACTGCCCATTCTATTCAATCCCGAACAGTGGCGGTTGGAGAAGTTTTCGAGAACTCGTGAATCCAATCATTGAGAAATCGTATTGTCGCTCAGCAGATTCGTCGGACGGGCAGAAGCGCAAAGGGTCGCCGCTGCCAATTAAGAAGACAGGCACATTGTTGGGGGGCTTAGAATCGATTCCGACGAATATCACGAAGGATTCACCGCCACAAGCCCACTTCAGCTATTGTCAGATGGGCCACTGGAAGCGGAACTACATGTATCCAGTGGTCATTCGATTGCGTAGTGACTGCGGAAGAAGAGGCGAGGACCTGAAAACGCACTGTTGAGCCCATTAGCGCTACCCGGAACGACTGCTACGGAACGAAGAGGAAAAGTGAGGAAAATGATTACGAGTAGCCGCGTCTGTGCTTCGTGAATGAGTAGATCAACGAGACCGATGAGTTCTTCGATAAACTTGTTTTACCAGCAGAACATCTTATTCTGGAACAGACTCGACTGAGACAGGAAGAGTGTGATGAAGGAAACTGGATGGGTGTACCTTATATCAGGGCATGATGAATGACTCTTTGTTTGACTCTTTGTTTCAGGGATCGCGTTAATCTGCAGAAGATGAGAATGGTCTGTTGTACCGAGAGGATAATGATCACTTTCACGAGCGGCAACAATTTCAGGTTTTACCGAAAAATGGCTGACGACAATCTGTATCATCGAGTGGACTTTTAATGATAAAGATGTTTATCGGCGACGACATTTTTTGCCAACTTAATTTGATTTTAATTTGGTCACCGGGTTGATAGCTCATCTCATCTCTCTCCCGAAACCCAAAATCTTATTTGGCGTTAGATTGTGGTAGAGCGCAAGGAAAAGGTACACCAAAGAACGATGGAACGTCATTTCGAAATTAAAAATGGCCTTGGCATGGATGACGAGCTAGTAGAGAGTAACTTCCAACATCTAGTCGATAATTTATGCAATTATATTTTTTGCATACTGTGAAATACAATATGAATTAGTTTAAACTAATTTATAATTATTCGTTGCGATATTGTAATAA